GGGGGGGGGGGGGAGTGTCCCTACAGTTAAAATAAAAATAAATTCACATGACTGATGTCTGGATATTAAATTTTGTTATGCATAAAAGTATTGGCAAATATAACTGCTCTTTATCTAGAAGCCGGCAAGGAATATTATTTAACCAAAAAATCCTTTTACCTGACTTTTAACTTTTAATGCTCTAGGCCAATCGTTAATACAAATGTATTAATATATAATAGTAATAGCACAGAAAAAATTATTCTAACAACTGAAAAATAATTTATCTCCAACTGAACATTTATTTGCCTTACTTATTAAGATGTAAAACAACAGTCGTCACAGAATTGTTCACAAGAACTCTAATAACAAATTCCATTTTAATGAACAGCCCTTCCTTTACTGCTCTACAGAACCATCAGCGCGACACAAAACGAGTTTATCTGCCAAAACATTTCCTAATCTCATATCATTCCAGTGAATAAGCTTGATCCATAGATTATATGAAACATTAGAGGTCCTTATATTCTTACAACAAACAAAGTTATACTGTATACAACAATGTATTTAAATGGTACCCAGTACAGTTTTATTAGATAGTATATAAGTGTTTAACACCTCTTTTACACAAGCATCATCCAATACAATGAGGAGTGTATATTAAGTATCGCTATATAAAATGCTTAATTGTCAAACCTCAAGCTAACAAAAACTTGTTTGACTTTATGAAAACATGAAGGAAATAGTAAAACAAGATATGTGGAAACCTGAATCAAACGACAGGACAAAACGATTATTGCCGGACTTTGGATAACATGAGTTTTTGAACTAGTTCCTATTTCTTGTTTTTTCATTTTTCCTGTCTGATGAGGAAGGCTCTTAGCCGAAACTTTCTCATCTTTTGCCCAGTCCCAGGTTTCCACATACCTCATTCTACTATTTCCTTCACAAGACTTGAACGCAGTCCATTTATTATCCTAAAAACATTTTAAAAAATCACCAGCTGCTGTAACCAACATTATTTGATATGAATAAATTCTAGGAAGTACTTGCAAACAAAACACTCTGTTCTTGTTATTTAGCACTATTTTATTGAAACTTTAAAACTTCATGTAACAGTCTGCACAGAAAGGCAGCATTAAAAATGTGCAAAGGTTGACATAAAATAATATGTTCAAAAAAAACAACAGATTTATATATTGATATTAAGTCAGTTCCTTGTTACGGTGTAAACATATAATTTTAGTCTTAACTTAAAAAAAGTAAACAAGTTTATAAGTAACTTTAGAATTTTACAAATGTAAACTTGATGCATTACCATTCTGAATGAAGCAGTTACTTTATGTACAGTAAAAACCAACTATAACCATCCTTCCCCATGTCACTGCATTCCTCCCATGAATTGATCAAAGCAGCGAGGCCTCAGCTACCATACTGTTGGAACTATAATATTGTATATTATTGTATAACCTGTCCTTTAAATAAAGTCAGTTAGCTTCAACTTGTCGCTGTTTGTGCCTTGACAGCCCCCATTCTGGTGGGATCTTGAGATGGGTAGTGAACTGGAGCTGGTCCCCGTGGTGGTGCTTGTTGCTGTGGCTGCTGCTGACTAGGAACGAGGCCGGGTGGTGGCCTCATTGGTAGGATGCCAGGAGGTGGTGGGGGTAGACGCATTCCTGAAAAGTTTATTGAAAATTAATTGCAGGACTGGCACCTGGAAGTGTAAATACTTTTTCTCATTAACAGAATATTTAAAATACAAATTAATCAATTCTGACTACTGCTTAAGAACCATACAAACACAATAACTGTTCTATCAAATTGGGATGATTAACTGATCAGTTCCTTGTAGTGGGACTTGAAACAAAGTCATTACAAATCCTTGTCAAATCTATGTAGCATACTTTTCTAACCAGTTATTATAGCCTGTGTGTTGACCCAGTTGACAAGATGTGGCAGGCAACTTTACCACCTCCTTTTGTTTTTGACATTATACAACTGTACATAGAGGGAGAAATACTCTCTGGCAATTGAATTTCTAGACTTTCTGGCTCCCTGACTATAAATATGACGGTTGTCTAAGACTGGCAGACATTTAAAAGACTTACAGGAGCACTACAAGACTTACTAGATTTTTCACTGTGTGTGTGTGGATTAATTTCTGTACCTTTCTAGTATTTTACTAGTTTTACTTGCTGTGCTGTAAGTTTATATAGTTTTTATTTCTGTATATTTCATTTTGTATTTTTATATCAACTTAAATGTATAATTTAATTGTGTTCGTGTTATTTTTATTTGTATATTGGTTTCAGGTCCTAAATACGTATTGTTCATTAAAATCTTGAAACAGATTAAATTTGTAAAACAATATAATGGTTTGTAGCCTAGTGAATGTCCTTATTAAGTTTTCCTTTCCACAAAAGTCAAAGAATATCTGTGGAAATGCCATAAAAGTGTCTCATAAAAGATATTTCTCCCCCAAATCAACAAAGTTTTTTTTTTCTTCAAAAGCCTCAATTCAACAATTTAGATAATTAAAATGCATCACTAAGAATTTATTTATAAGTTATAATTCATGAGTATTTTAGTGGTCAGACTCTGGAAGAATGCAAAGCTACAATACAGTTATAAAATAAAAAGATATGTAAAGGGTTGTGAAGTGTCAGAATATTTTCGGAAACAGTATGAGTCAGTTATGTCAGCAAGGACAGCAGAAAATACTGGAAATTAGTTCTGCAAAGCAGAAAAAGCTCTGATCTAGATAAATTAAAGTTGTATAAAATCATGACAACATACCAGGAGGAGGTGGGCCCCTGGGCATTCCTCCAAAGGGCATTGGCGGAGGTCCTCTCATCATGTGTGGGAATCTGGGTCCACCTCTCAGGGGACCTCTCGGCATACCAAATGGAGGTAGTCCACCTGGTCCAGGCCCACCCAGGTTGAAGTAGTTATTGGTAAGTTCTTCAGGTGGCATAGGAAGGGCTACAAATAATATTTTAAAAGTAAGTGCACAAAAAAAACTCTCAGAAAATTAGGATCTTTATGCAAAGTGCATAGTTCCATGGTACATTTCACGATTAATATACATTTAAAGAAAGAAAATATGGACAAAATAATTTTAAACTCGGACTCCAGCTCTAAATTTAAAGTAACAGTAGTTAACAAAAAAAAAAAGTTTTTCTGAAGCATTTTTAAATTTATTAGATGGATAGTATGTTTAAAATGAAAATTATTTTTTTAAAATCTAAAATCCTCACCTTGTGGTAACCCTGGAACTGGCTCAAGTGAAGTCAAAGCCAAGGTTTCTTCTTTCTTGCCTTGCACAGCCTGCTGCCCCTGTGATCTACCCCACTTAATATTAAGCCGACGTCCATTCAAGATTAGCTTGTTGAAAGCCTTTTCTGATGCTGCCTCAGCAGCAGCTCTTGTGGTAAACTGGACGAAGGCGCACTGCTGTTTGGCCAAGTTTATAGAACGAATTTCTCCGAACTGATAAAAATAGTCTCTATAAAAATAGTAATATTTTTATTAACTACATAGACTATACCTCTGAAAATCATTCAAAAAAATACATAAATTTTGTCTACATTCTTCTTTGCTGATAAAATTCCCTTTTCATTAAAAAAAAATATAAATCATATAAACATTAAGACTTTGAAAATAAAAAATCAATAACAGAAAAACCATTCATAGGAATAAAAAATGATAAATGTATTAAGCATTGAAAAGCTCACCGTAAGTCCTTTTCTCCAACTTTATCACCTAAGTTGCCTACATATAAAGTAGTCACAGTTCTGTCATCTGGTGGTTCCAACTTGGGTAAACTATTGTAGCGATTCAGCAGCTTACTGGCGACAGGATCATTCATACCATAAAATCTGTCCTTAATGTTTTGATCTGCCAATGGGTCATCAGGGTCTGTAGGTTTTTCGTGTCTTTAGAAGACAAAAAAAAAGTAGTACTTTGATGAATTATTTCACTTATTGTTTCGGCACAAGTAAGGATCACTGCTTGGCTGAGTTTTGTTTCAAATTTTTTGACTTGATTCAGACTAAAAATCTTAAAAGTGACGTTGATTTAGACAATACCCTAATAAAACATATTTCAGCAAAACCTTGAATAAAATTGTGAAGTCAGTGCTCTGAAGCCAAGTTAACAAAAAAGACCCCAAATAATAAACTTCTTTACAAACATATTTAGTCCATTTTTATAATTTTCTTTACCTGTAAGGACACTCTTGTCCTCTACGGCACTCTCCTTTTACCCAGAATGAACAGATATGTGGCCGATTTCTTGTGTAATATGGTGTTGTTCTTGCAAGCTTTAGTAACATATCACTAGGTGTTTGAGCTTTTCCGGCCAGGGCACCAACAGGAGAAATACCATCACTATTGGCAATCTATAGAAAAACATTTTAATTTTAAAAAATTGAAAAAAATAAAAATGATAAATGTTATTGTTAAATTTCACTTGTTAATTCAAAACAGTTTTGAATTAACAAGTGAAATTTAACAATACCATTTATTAACATATACTTTTCATGCTTGCCATATAAATAGTATGTTTTTGTAAGAGAAAAGGGAGCTTCTTTATTTTTGATTGCTAATTTGTAACAAAATATCACAGTCTAGAATTAACTGGCCTGATTAAAGGCATAATAATAATACCTAGTGAGCAAAGAAATCAGGGATAAAGTAAACGTACAATAGTAAAAATATCATTTAATAGTAGAATTCATAAAACCAACTAAATACCTCTCTTTCTATGTTTTGTGTGTAATATTCCTTATTCACATCAGACTTTGGCATGTTTTCTTGCAATTTGAGAGCAGCATCTCTGACCTGTACGGGGAGACCTGGGTAAAAACAAAAAATATTTTTTTTTTAAAAAACAAAACTGATATAAACTTAATTTTAAACGAAAAGCCAATTTAATTGTTTTTGGCATCATTTAAAAATGAATATGAATTGTTAGAGCAGCGTTGAAATGCTTTTATTATTATAGGACAAACTGGGAACAGTTTGAAGCATTTGTTTGTTTCTATTTTGTGCAATGACTTAATTAAAAGTTACTGTTATTAGCAGTTTCACACTCACCATACTCTAAATCAAGAAGACATGTCTGACAGACATTTTTCATTTTACTGCAAGTTTGACAGACTTCAGTCTTCTTGAAACGCATCCTTGCTCCTGGGCACCATTTGAATACAGTAAATGGACGAGCACAAATCTTACATTCCTTGCCATATTTTTCTTTCATCTGTAGAGTAAAAATGCTTTTTTGGCGTTTGTTATGAAAGTCTCAGATGTGATGATAAAACCAAACTCGGCTTAGAAATAAAACTTCTACAACTAATGATTCTGCATCCTCACTTTTCATGATTCAATATTTATGACAATGTCAACCATGAAACAAATAATTTATAAGCTACAATATTGATTAAAATTATGGTTTAGTAGAGTATAGATTAGTTTTTTTTTTTGGGGTACTTTTCATAGTAATTTTTTTTTTCGCATATAGCTTTAGTATCAGTGAATAAAATATAGTGCTACCTCAAAATAGGCATTTATCTTCTCTATAAAGCTTACCATGCGAATGTAAGGATTGTCTCCCAGACAAGTCTGACACAATATTGGAAACTCCTGAAAAGGGTTTTTAAAAAAAAGTATGTTCATCTTCTTCAATTAACTTTTTAATATTTATTAATAATGTGTTTTTAACAATACCATGCATTTTCTTGCTTTAAATAATAATGGCATCAAATTAGTCTCCATTCTCACTATTATGTGTAACTTATTGTAAGTTGCTTTACTATTTACTTTGTGATTATCTCTATTATTTTGATTCAGGAAAGTAGTGACAATTGTCTCATGTCTGTATATGTTTTTTAAGTTTAATTTGATTTTAGCCTCTAATTAATTCTAAGTCAACCAATATCAAAAACTACATGATAAGGGCCTTTAATAATTGTACAAATTAATGAATGAAATATTTCTTAAATCTTTGTAAAAGATTAACGGTAACAAAAAATATAGAATCCCATTTCAAAGTTTGTCAACAGAAATGTGTAAGCTAAATGTATGAATATATGATAGACTTACTGTTACTACAATTTATAGACAGAGGCTTTTAAAAAGTCTTGAATCAAATCATAGTCCTATATCTTCCGCCTAAGGCTAAGGGGTCATCCATAATGAGGTTAAAATATTTAAGCAGATTTTTAACCTCTGACCCACTTACCCCATTTTCAAAAATGTGCCTTAAAATTTAGACACCCCACTATGATTCATCACAAATTTTTGAACCCCAACCCACCAGATACGTGAAATTATTTAGCGATTGCCCAAAAACTCAATGACAGAACACAAAGAATACGAATGTTACTGTTAGGCCGTAGCTAAGTAAAAGTAAGTAGTTAATGTGACCCTCAAACTCACACATGAGTATGAGAATGACTCTTAGTCAAAGTTAGTCTTAAGTAACTCTTACTAGGTACTTTGACACAAAATTTAAATATTGTCCGATTGCCATGAATGATACATCATTTTAAAGGGCTAGCCATAAGCTTTATAACAACACCAACTTTATCTTTCTATCTTTTATAGAACTGGAGTTATGATTTTTTTGTCAAATTTTTTATGCTATATATTTGACCCAAAAAACTTGTGACCCACTTTTCAATTTTTTCCACTTTTTGACCCATAACTTTTTTATTTTTAAAGATAAGGGTACCAAATTTTCAGCACACACTCTCAATGCAATGTAAAACACAATGAAAACAAAAGTTGCACATTATAGAAGATACATTTATTTTGAAAAAATATTTTTGCAGAGAAAGTGAAAAAAAATTGGTAAAAGAAACCCTTTTTTTTTTGGAAAAATTATTATTTCTTTACATGAAAAACAAAAAAAATTGCATGTTTATTCCATTTTCAAGTAATAAGAATATCACATAAAAATTATAATTTGATTATAGGCATTTTATGTTCTGTAAGGGATTTAAAAATACCTGAAAAGAAAAATAATGAAAAATTTAATTTTATTTTTATAAAATAAAACCATAATATTAATATAAACTAATTGCATGAGATAAAACAGTGCTTCTACTTAATACGTCCTGAAAAGAAGTATAGAACTGTTATTAATAAATTATTCAAATATAACGACCTAAATATAAAAATAGAAATATTAATAAAGTATTCAAATACTGAGTCAAAACAGTTACACTGTAACAAAAAAAAATGTTGCAAAGTCAGTTTGTAAATAAATTACAGACAATAAATGTTTAACTAATACTAATAATATGAACACTTATCTGTATGAAATGATGAAATGAAGAATTTGAAATATTCTGAAAATAAAATAAAAAGGAGGGGGGGGGGGGGATTAATTTTTTAAAATGTATTCCAAAATAAAAAGTCAGACGTTCATACATATAATTATAAAGTAATGATACCCAACAAATATTTAATCAATGTCTTAATTATAATTAATACTTGTACTGTAATATGAAATTTAATAGTTACCTTTTTTTTAAAGAAAATAAACGTCCTGAAAAAGACAAATGGAATAGTTCAAAAAAAAAATTAAAGTGAGAAGCAAATCAATAGTACATACATATTTAAGTGTTTACACAAAATAATTTTCTTAATTGATGCAAACAGTAATTAATACTAGATTAAGGTTAAGACAACAGCCTGAAAATAAAAAATTGAAAAGTATTGAAAAGAAATGAAAATTCTTACATAAATATATTTACTCAAAATAATTTTATAAAGAAATGCAAACAGTAATAATACAACCATTAAAAGAAAAGATAACAGCCTGAAAATAAACATGTGAAAAGTATTTTAAAAAAGTAAAATTCAAAATGGTTCTTACATTAAAATATTTACACAAAATAACTTTCTAAATAAATACAAACAGTACCGTAACTAATAAAAAGATTAAAAGAGAAGTTAACAGTCTGAAAAAGAAAAGTTTGAAAAGTATTAAAAAAGTTATCAAGACAAAAGATAAAAAAATACATATACATTATATACATGTCTACAAATTATAATTTTCTAAATTAATTCAAACAGCATTAAAAACACTAGAATAAAAAGTTATATGAGCCTGAAACAGAAATATGGAATAAAGGAGGTATTAAAAAAAATATCCCTTCAAAATTAAACAACAACAAAAACAAAGGTTCATATTGTTTTTAAGTATTTACACAATGAAATCTATAAAAAGCATGAAAAAGTGAACAAAATAACCTGAATACAAATGGGAAAAGTATTAAAAAAAGTAATCAATTCTAAACTTAACAAAATCTAAAAATTATTAACAGTATTAACAGTAACTTTAAAATTAAATGTGAACAATGCATGCTGAAAAGGAAAAATTAGCAAAATGTTTTTTAATGTACCCATAGACAAAAGCAAACAGCAACAAATTTTGAAATTATCTAACTGAAATGAAAATCTCCCATTATGGCATCTGCAATTAAAAAAGTAACAGGAATAATCTGAATATCATCTAAACTATAAACTACACGACAACACTTCTTTTTGTTTTTAGTTACCACTGCAACTACTTCCCCCTCAAAGACCTTGTCTTCTCCATCTACATGCCAAACATGCCTGATAGGTAAGGGCAGGCAGTCTACAGGGTTCTGAAACATTTCATTAAAATTTTCTTTAGTACCTGGGAGAAGACTAGAGAAAACATCATCATCCAACCCCAATCCAGTTTCCAGACAGTTTCTAACGTTTCTTTCTAATTTATTTCTATCTGTCTTATCCCTTTTCTGCGCTAATTCTGTCTGTCTAAAAATAACCACCTGTCTCATTAACTTATCCCTACTCTTAAGAACTTTAACCTGCCTACGTGCAAAGTTAATTGCAAAAGAAATCATCCTAACCTGTTCCGAACTGGGTTTCCCTACCAACCATTCCATTGTCTTATTGGCAAGAGACTTCACCTTGGCATCAACAAAAGCCATGGATGCGTTGGGTGCCCTCTTAACCTGGGCATCCACCATGCCCAACACACGCTCACAGAAGATGTTGTGAACTGGAGCAGATGAAGTCTTTGCCATCAGGTCTGGTTGGGGGTCCGCCAGCTCACCATCAGTATAATCCCCCAGCTGCCTACTTAAAACATTTAAAAAACATTTTGCTAGTAAGGAGATTGTAAAAAAAAACCGTTCTGATGTTTCCTCGGAGTTGCTCCTCAGCTTCAGCAGGACATCATCCACCTCCAGCTGGTGGTTGAACACATCATGGTCGATGGTGAGGACCAAGGCTGGGTTGTCTGCAATCTCCTTCAACGTGACCATGCATGTTTTGATGAGTGGAGTCTGTGATAAAAAGAAAATAATGGACTTTTTTAATGGGCACATAATATTTTTAAAAATTATAATGGTGGTTAATCGCTATAGACAATTACAATGAACACATACCATTTCCAAATGCTTTAATCCACCAGGATTCTTATAGAATGTGGTCATCCAGGGGCCAGTCAAGACCTTCCCGAAGAGACCTAACATATAAAATATAATAAAATTTAGGAAACAATACACACATGTATAATATTGATAAACTACATGAGATATTGTTTAACATTTCACCACTACAATATTTTAAAATACATATATATTTACCTAAAGCTCTCAACTGCAAAAAAATGTTGGGGTTGTCGAGATCCTTCATAATGACCGATCGCAACCCCATAGCAGTTGAGTACTTAGTCAAGTACTGGGATAGCATATCCTTCAGGTGGACAATGATCCCTGCTAGGTGGAACAGAACATGGAGTCTGTTCCCCACATAGCGTACTATGACTCCTGGGTTTAGCTTAGATCTCTCAAGGAAGGCCTTAAACCCTGATGGGTCTCCTGATTTCATTTTGTATCTGTAAATGTAAAGAAAATATTTTAGTATTTCAAATTTATAATCAATTAAAAAACATAACACTTAAAAACCAAATTTTGAATAGAATATACAAAATAATAATTTTTTATATTTACCTCAATTTAGACACAGCATAAACCAAATTAGCTGCGCAGCCTTCACTTCCAAAAACATTACCCTTAATCTCCCACTCAACGTCTAAAGCTCTGAGCTCCTTCCTGGCCTGGGTGGCCATGCCGTCCAGAGGGTGTAAGTGGCACTTCAGCTGCACTAGCTTCTTGCCTAGGGTCTCTTCCAGTTGCTGAGACACACACTTATTCACCCGAGCTCGATCGCTTAGCGTTGCCTGGAGAGAGAGATTAAAAGTATACAGCACCATTTGCTGTTGAATTTTATGGAAAGTCGAATAGACGGAGGCAACATCCTGAAGCGCATTCATGACTTGCTCTAGGTAATCCTCTGTCTTACCACCTGCTATTCCTGCTGTCTGGAGAGTCAGGTTCTGCCCATCAGCTGAAATGTTACAAGCGTTAATATGCTGACCGTCAAGTGGTGTAGAGTCTCAGGATAATGTAACATTATTAGCCTGAAACAATGCTTCACCGACTTGAAGGTCAGAGAGGATTCCCAGCTCATAGGTCATGGATGCAGCTGTGGATGCACAGGGGACGTCTGACAAGGTCTGTCCAGCCAGCTCTCGGACAATAAAGTCAATCACTATTCCAGCTTTATCCACAGGCACCTGGTTCAAAATGCAATTATATATACATTTCCTCATGGGGGTATTATAGGTATATCTTTGCCTACGAGCTTTACCATGGGTGCCTGTGGATTTTGCAGATGTGGTAGTGATTACTTTAACCTTCTCAGACGCCTCCATCAGTTCATCCACCTTCAAGAGTGCCTCTATCCTGTCCTCCGTCGTTGCCTTTACTGTAGCCTTCAGCTGAAACACCTCCTCCTGTAGTTTGGTGACCTTCTTCTGCAGGATGCGGTTCCTTCTGCTCAGAAGACTGCACTTCTCCATCTTGGTTGTTGACGCTCCCAGTTGTCGTTCCAAGTGCAGCACCTTGGTCTTCAGTGCTGTCTTCTCCCGCTTTAGTGTCTCAACCCTCTGCGTCTTCCTCTTTATGGTCTGAGTCAAAACTTTCGTCTCAGGGGACCTGTGAAGTGACTTAGCATTTAATTTACATTTAACAACCTTCACCTTATTTTCAAAAAACTGACACCTGGCTATACACCTTTGCCTTATGGAGTGGCATTGATTACAATCAGTGCGCAACTTCTTAAGTTTTGGTGGAGCCTTTAATTCTTGCTGAGCTACCTGTGGAAGAAACATTTCATCTGTTAATGGAGTTGCAGCACCAGAAGAGCTGGATGGCACAATCTTTTTTTCCTTGGAAACTGGCGCACTAAAAGGCTGAAACAAAAGATCCTGGATTCTCATCCATGTTAGAGTGAAATGCTTTTTTAAAGATAAGATATTGGTAAACAATTTTTGACACTTTGCACGTATTCCATTCTTATTTGACACATAGTTGAGATCTTTCTTAATAAAGACCTCATCAAGTGCAGACACTGCAGCAATCATGCCCTCTTTCTTGTTGGCACAGCTGGTATACAAATAGAATGCATAGCCATTCCTATATATGCCAGTGGCTGCATCTTGGGCAAAGCTTGCCACCAAACGATCAAAATCCTGAAGGGTAACAGTTACTGACTCAGACATTCTCGATATCGCTGGGGACTGGGGAAAAAAATCAAAAGAAATTATGGAAATAATTTTACTTTTAATTTTGCATAATTTATAATATAAATCATAATAATTATTATTAATTAATATTTCCAAAATGTTACATTATTATATTTTTACTATATCATACTATAAAAAATTATTCTTCAAATAACATTGGTGACATTGTAAGTAATTTACATTTTACATTATCTATCTATCATATTTTATTTATTCATAGCAGTTGACTTGTCTGGTCTTAAGCTAACTTACTAAGCCTAATGCCTAATATCATGTTCATTTATTACTTAGTTAAACTTATTTCTATTACTATTTTTATTGTATTTTGCATATTAATTTATTAATATTATTATATACTAATACTATATTATTATAATAATTATATAATTATATACGACGATTCTCGGCCTTTATTAAAAAAAAAAAGCTTCAACTTAAACAATCAATGGAATTGTTATAATTTTAATCATCAAATCAGTTTCTGTAATATTTTATAATACATTTTACTAATTTTATTAGATTTATTTCGATGTTCAAAGATTACTGATGTAATAAAACTATCTTATTGAAAGTAATTTAGAGTCCCTTTCATCATACCGGTGCAAAAAAAAAAATCCACCATTTTTTTTTTTTCCGGTGCTGGTGGGGTCATGACAATTGGAAGGAAACTTCATTCTACTGGAAAAGCATAAATTGGCTATTTCAAAGTTATTCCCCACCCCATTTGAATGCTTAACTGCTTTTTAAAGGTTTTAATGTGACATTATTGCTAAAACGGAGTATTTAATACATTTTATAGCTTACCGTATGTTCAAAGTTACACAAGAAAAGAACAGAGCTCAATCCAGTTGCTCTAACGACATGTGCGTCACCGGAAGACAAATATAAAACGTCATCGATGACAAAACAAATGTACAAATAGGAAACTGTGACGTAAAACGCATAAATCCGAGGTCACCGTAGAAGCGATAGTAAGATGGCCACTTCAATTTTTGCGTTTTTTTTCCTCATGCGCAGAATGAATGCGCAAGGGAGTATCGGTATGCCTACTCTTACTCTTAGTTTAGTAGTATTAATCAAGTTCAGTTAAATGAGTTCAGTAAAGTCGAAAAAGTAAGAAATAACCAATCCAATTTCAATCATCCAATGACCAATGACAAGGCCAATGATGTTTGAAGGAAATAACATTAAAAATTTGCATATTTTAATTTTAAGCCTAACTAAACTAACTAAGCCATATAATTAATATTTGTAATAATATTCTGTGTCCATTGTTTTCCTGCGTCTTAAGAGACAACTAATTAATCCAAATGCATATAAAATTTCCTTGGTAATTTGATATTATTATGCATATTAATAAAATAATATCATAACGGGTCAAAACGATTTATGAATTTATAGGTAAATTATGATGAATAGCTCAGAATGGGTTATGGATTATCGGAAACAGGTAACTTTTAGAACTTAATAATATAAAATGATATGTTTTTTTTAAATAAATATTTTTTCATTTATTATAAATACAAATTTAACAGAGATAACAAACGTGAACATTGCTAATAGAAGTATCTCATACGTACGGCATCTTCCCAATTTTGTCTGTTGTACGTATTTGCACCTTTGGATGTCGCCATTTTGGGTGCCAAAAGAGGTTACTATAAATACTGAAAGATACAAATTACCAAAATAGAATAATTTTCCAAGAAACATTAAGTCAATTTCAGGAATCAAATTTTAGTAGATAAATTAAAATAATCACGGACAAATCTTTATTAAAAAAACTATATTTTAGCATTTGAAAATATTTGTTTTTTCAATAGTATACACTTTCAACATACAACACCCTTCATTTAGAATTTAGGAACGACTACAAAAATAACATGCATTTGAAATGGTGATATAATAAAACTATATCAATATAACTTAAAACATTTATATTGAAGTAAATCTATAATGAAAACACTACTAAGAATGTTTCAAATTGTTAAGGATTTTTTGTGAACATTAAAAGATGTATATTCAAAATCATCTTTATAAAAATCAAAATTAAAGCAATGTCCAAAGTTTCGGCAAATTTTGGTAATTAGAGTGAGCTACGATAAAAATAAATAAACAATAACATGAACTAGTTTTGCTACCGTTTGATATATCATGAATTTATAGCATAATTTTTATGTAGATTGTTTAGTGTTCTGGGAAAAAAACAAGTATTTTTTAATATTTTTAATTAATATTATGAAAGAAGACCTATGATAGATAGGTGTAACGTTTTTAGCAGCTAAATCTTACTTTTTTTTTTTTTTTTTATTTTTTCCTTTTGCTGTTTTTTTTTTTTTTTTTTTTTTTTACTTATGCCTTATGCCGTTATTCTTTCTTTATGCTCTCAAGCCACTGCTGACTGAATGACTGACGGACGGGGAACTGACTACTGACTCTCACTCTATCACTCTCAATCTCAGTAGTCTAAATCTCAGTAGTCTCAGTCTCGACTGAGTTTCAGTCTCGATTGATGAGTGTCCACTCAGTGTTTTCAAAATAACGGATAATGGATAATGTGACGTATGAAGTTAAAGCCTATTTTAATTTTCTCACGTTTTTATTTACCATGACTCATGCGTCTTCAGACTCTTCATGCATGACATCAATGGCATGCCATTTTAATTAATACATGACCTTAGTTAATTAATAAGTTGTTAAGTTTATTAAAAGAACTGAATTCTAAATTATTTCCTAATTTATTCATTTCTTTTTTTGAAGAAACACTACATTATCTTTAACTTTAAGTCAATGGTTAGCTTTAGCAGTTTGAATTTAAGACATAATTGACATATATTTATATTTATTTATAGTGATATCATAAAAATATAACATAATTTATAGCATCATTTCATTATTATAAATTAGTAAATTGCCCAATTACCAATTCTAACTCTAACAATAATAAATTAATTTGGCTAGTGTTGATTCGGCATGCCTCTTAAGCCTTAAATTTCTGTGTAGGATTCTCTCCTATATGACGTTTGTTTATACTTGGATTGTTACTAGAGTTAAAGTTTCTTTTTTAAATATTTATTCACCGATGGATCATTGTAAATTAATATTTCATTGTGTGGTTAATTATAATTTGTCAAACGAGATTAAAATGAGGCTAAATTTTGTAGCACACATGTTTTAGTTGAGGGAAGGGAGTGGCCACAGGTCATTGACAATTTTCACCACATAACAATAAAGTAATATAGTGTGTAAAAATGTGTTCTAAGAATCTTTAAGTTGAGTTTTCAATTTTTTATATTGTTTTTCTTCCTTTTTACACTTTTCTCACCACAGTGTGTAACTGTAGCACACAGGTTTTAGTTGAGGGAAGGGAGCGACTGCAGGTAATTGACACTTCTTACCTCATATCTGGAGGGATACAATAAAGTTGCTATATTAGCCATGAAATTAATGTGACAATTAAATTGAAAATTTTGTTTCTATTTTCGTTTCTCTTGGTAAATTGCTGAAATCTTTCCCATCCCCATTTTAGCAGATGTGTGTTTGCACTATTTTTTTTTAAACGGCCACCATCTTGGTTGCCATACACTCTGGCGCCAAGCCAACCAAGATTGTGGCAGTGGGAAATGAGTGGCATGCCAAACCAACATTTACCCTTAATTTAATTATTAATAATTATGAGTGATATCAGACCATAACATCCAAATATAGTCCTAGTTATATTCAGATTATTTTAGTTACCATTGCTATTATAATGATTGCATTTAAACTGATTAATTATTTAAAAGACTTAGACCTAAGAGAATGTAAGAAAAGCTATGGAACTCGTCTGAAACTATTTTCAATATCTTAGATATGTGAATTAATATATAAATTACCTTATAATAATGTATATTGCATGTGGCGCAGACATGTAAACATCAACTTATATTTTTTTAAAGTCTTTTTCAGCTGAATAAATTATTTGTTTTTGCAAAGTAGGTGAGCAAAGATATCCATAGAAGGGCTGGTTACAACAGGAATGCATATTATGGCAAGAAGGGGGGTTTTAAGTGTCAAATTAAACCAGGATCAAGGTGGGTCTAAATTTCAGATCTCAAACTCTCAGCTTGATATGTCTCTCCCAACTGCTGTATAACTAATGTCTGTCTATATAAAGAAGGAAGTTATTATCAGAAATTAATTCTCATTACCATAAAATGACTATTAATTGTATCTGTTTATTACTCTGTGTCAGTGTGCCTGAGATTAATTGTATACTTGCAGCCTATCTATCAAATACAAAAATGCAACAGTGTGATTGATAATTTTATATGCAGGATGTCAATTGACATTGTAATTGATGATGTCATTTTTTAATGATGTTATTTTTAAAGAGTACTTTACTTGTGCAACGGAAGATGGCCTTCGAATATTTCATATGGACCCCCTTGTACAGACCCATCATATTGGTTAGTGGGTTTTCATTTCATATACTTTTTTATTCATTAATAGGCCTATTTAAACAAAAATCTGTAAATTGAAAACAATAATCGAACATAGAAAATTTTCTATTAAATAGTCTTGATACAATAACATTTTATAAAAAAATGAGATTTAAGAATAAAAAATCGTATACAAGATCATAATATTTTTCATATTTTATTTCTCTTTAATATTGATCAGAGATGTCTTAAAAAGAATTTTTAATGTAATGTTTATTTAAAAAATAAAAATGTAACATTTATTTTATACTATAATTTATAGTAAATTATTTTCAGTCTAAAAATGTATAAATTTCATTTCTCAAGCAGAAGCTTCCAAAATTGGCAGCATTCGCATTGCTGAGATGAGGTTAAGATCCAACATTGTTGCCTTCGTTAGTGGAGGCTCACGTCCATTATATGATGACAGAACAGGTAAACTTTATTTCAGTCCTGTCCCTAAGTAAAATGAAAAGAAAATGTATTTGTTCATGGGATGTTAAAAATCATAACATAAACATGAGAAAATTGAATGTCTTTATGATGGTTATTTAGTTACCATTAATTCAGAATTGTGTGTTCTCTATTTATAAATAATTTTCAAGCTAAAAGTTAAATTACACTAAGTTAATGTAAAAATAGTTTCCTACTATTACACTAACCATGTTACAATGAAAAAAAGTGAAGACTTTAATAACTTATTGACTATTTCTGTGTTTAGTTACTTTATGGGATCTGCAAAAAGAGACAGCTGTATCTAAAGTCGTTTTGAAGGAGCCAGTGCTAGATGTTAAAATGACCACTGACAGGTCAGGAGAATTTTTTAAGAAAATCAAATTCTTATAAGATATCTTCTAAGGTTATAATTAACTTTATAGTCATTAAATATAAAGAGAACCCTTAAAATTATTTTTGCTTTGTTGGCTATTATTTTTGGCAATAGTAATTTGTATTTGGCTTTCAAAAGTTAAAATATCATACACACATTGGATTTGAAACTTAATGATTAGTAAAACATTTTTTACAGTGAATTAATTCTTATGGAAGTAATGAGTGTTTGTAAATTTCAATTGCAGATTGCTGGTAATACTTCGTAGCAGAATCATTTTGCTTTCTTTTCCTGGTGGGGAAACTTTATCAGAGCTAATCTCTAGAGATAATCCAAACGGTATGCGATAATGATAATAAGTGGGAAGAGACTGCAGTCAGTTTTAGAAAGAAGGAAATGTGTGAAACAAAGTATCGTAAAACCTGAAAAGGATGCATCAAAGCAATGAAAGTGTCTGCAAGAAGCCGTCTTCAGCAAACAAACAATGACTAACACAAATATAAAATTAAAACTTGTCTTTTTTATCTGAGTTTTTGTATCTGAGAGGACAGCAAGAGGAATGTGGTAGACCATTAGTTGGTAAGATAGTTAATATAGTTGGCCGGGGGGGGGGGGTGAGTAAGTCCATGGGCAAGTAAAAAGGAATAAGTGGAGTAAAGATATAACAAATGAAGGATAAAATTACATTCATGCCATGTTGTTCTCAAGGTCCCATAAATGTGTAATAGGTTTTCCTTTAAGTTCAGGCTAGCAGACAATTTTGTACAGGAAACGATGGCGGTAATTGACAAATTTCTTGTGCTCTTGTGGTCGCTTCTATTAAAGTGTTTTGAGATAGGACAGTGTTTAGCTTGCGCAATATTTCTTAGGTGTTCAGATCATCCGTCTGATAAGGTACATGGCAGCGAGTACAAACAATGGGCAATGATGTAGATAAAAGTGCAGCTTGTGCAAAGGAAACCGTCATAGAGAAGGGAATGTATTGAGTCTGGATGACAAAAGGACAAGTGTTAAAATGGCTTAATCTATCTTCATGGCTTGGTTCCAAAGTGGGAGGGGGTAGCGCAGAGTTTGCTAAAAGCAAGGAGATATCATCGAGTCTTATATCTTCTGAGCACAATTTTCAGATTTCAAGAAAATGTTGTTAGTGTCAGGAAAGGGGAGGAAACTGGTTTTGTTAAGAGATTGTGGGTATGATAAGTAAGAAAAAGTTTAGTCCTGTCTCCATTGTGACTCAGACGTGATCTGAAGGCTTAAGCACCAAGTGATGATTTTAACCTGTTGAAAGGCTGATAAATGTACTGTCTTGAGGTAGGACCTACATCAGAAAGAGTCGACCATCTCAAGTACCTTGCCCAAAAGTTATCCTCAGAATGTTCAAGTTGATGAAGACAAAGTAGTTGAGAAAAGGAAATTGGACCCTTACAGGATTTAGGGTGGAAGCAGAGTAGAGTAAATAGCTGTGGCTGTCAGTAGGTTTTCATTAGGCGTAGATGAGGAAGCTTGTCTTTTTGAACTGTAACCATAATGCCCAAAAAGTTAACCGAGATCTCAGATAACTTTGATGTGAATTTAATGGAGGGATGGTAAGCGCATACAAAGTTGATGAATAGGTCAAATTCGCTCCTCTCCAAGGGGGTCATCCCATCACCACCAATTTGTTGCATCATTTTCTTCAGCTCTTACCGTATCTTGTTTCACACATATCCTTTTATGTTACGTCTTTATTCATGTCACCCTTTTTTATTAGACACTTAGTTATTGATTTATTGAATCTCTTTAAAACTATAATTTATAATGTATACATTTATATAAAAATATAAACTATTGAAATGATCATGTGCAGAATGTTGCCCTTTTTTTCTTTCACAGCTGTCTGTGCCGTTGCACACCATGCCAGAAAAGTCGTCTTTCCTTCCAGAAAAAGCAGAGGAAGCATACAAATAGAGGTTCAGTTTTTAAAATTAAATACAAAGTAAAAATTTACAAGTCAAAATTAACTATATAAGTTTAATAACAGAGCTTTGTTTCTAATTTTAGAAGTTAGCATCATTTTGTATGGTTTGGAAAGGGGGGGGGGATTTGGTGATGCAAGTGTACACATTTTTTTAAAAGACGTTTAATTTTGTAATTCATGCACAAAAGCCATGTTTACTTTGAATTATGTTTTTCTATCAATCCACTGGTCACACTTAGCGTAGCTAATCTCAAAGAAGCTGATGTACAAACTTCTCAATGTGGTTCTGGGCTTGCTTTGTTCTAAATGTGGGGCAAGGTGGCATATTTTGATTAAAATATGACATTTTCTCTTCTAAACTTGAATCACTTAAAAAACAACAAAGTAACAAAGATATGTATTTTCAACTTGCAAACTTACTGAAAGGATTGACTTTTAACTGATTTAAATAGATGATTATTTCAACTTTTAAGGCTATTTTTTTTTTTCTATTGTTCACAGTTAATTTTGCCCTGGATTCTCATATATGCATTATTAAACTAAGAACCTAACTGGGCCCCGCACACACTAAGCAACAAAGTAAGAAAGAACAATGGCCTCCTTGTCACACACTAAGCAACAAAGTAAGAAAGTACAATGGCCTCCTTGTCACACGCTAAGCAACATAGTAAGAAAGAACAATGGCCTCCTTGTCACACACTAAGCAACAAAGCAAGAAAGAACAATGACCTCCTTGTCACACACTAAGCAACAAAGTAAGAATGACCTACTTGATTCACGTTGGCTGTTCAGTTAACTGTAAACGGATAATGTTTTCTATTGCAATAGGATCTAGACAAAGATGATTCAGCATCACAGAGCAAGCCACCCTCCATAGTCCAGGCACACAGCAATGACATAATATGTGCGGCCATCAACTCTGCTGGGGACTGCATAGCCACAGCTTCTACTCAGGTATCTTTAAAAATTGCTGGTGCAAAAGTTTTATCAAGCCTGCGTGGTGGTAAAAAAACAACCTGAAGCATCTTATCCATGGTTAAATCCTTAACCTGCTGTCTGAGATACCTTTAACATATACCCTTACCATTTGTCCATTAATGGAGCAGAATTTCTTTCTTTCTGAGTTTTGTGTATTAAACTTCCTCTATTTGATTCAGCTTGAATATATATCTTTTTCAGGGAACCAATATTCACCTTTACCATGTACATAGCAAAGGAATCACAAAACTTCGCAGAGGTTTAGACAAGGCAAATATCTATTGGTAATTTAGATGTATTTCTTTTTGAACATATTTTTTATACCCTGCAGTTTAAAATATTTAAAAGCTATTTTGAATGTATGACAATGATTTAAGGTACATAAAATATAAGTTTTTCATACAAACATAACCTGCAGAAAAAAAGCTGAGTTGATTAAGTTGTTTTAAAAAGTTATTTGTAATGCTTTTAACTATTCATTCCTTTGATCTCAACCTCATTAGAATTTTACAACATTAAGGTCAAGTATGATAAACATCATTTCTCGTTTACTCTCTTTTTTAATCATTTTATCCTCATTAGGCATACCCTTTATCCTCATTAGGCATACCCTACAAGCTCTTATCTATGTAGTTCTAAAATTCCCTGTTTTTTTTTCCTCTTGCAGTTTAAACTTCAGCAAAGATGGGAGTTACCTTTCCTGCTCCAGTGATAAGGGTACAGTCCATGTCTGGTCACTGAAAGATCCTGATATGAACCCAGTTTCAACGTAAGCATTTTATCAGTGCATTGCAGCCATTATAAGGCTCACCCTAAACCTTGTTTTATCCCACCTGGAATTACACAAATCGCTCACAAACTCTTATAATTTATAATACATTCTGTATGAAATTTGTCTATAGGCTGAAGCCCCTTGTTGGTCTGCCTAATGAAGTGAAGTCCTACGCGTCATTCACTGTGACAGCTGAGTGTGCCTGCCTGTGTTCTTTTGGCACTGGGGATGCCATGTACGGTCAGTGCAAATGTAGTATACGGTTGATCCTAGCTTTAAGTCCGTATGAATGACAGAGAAGAGTTCCTGAAATCATGTTGAAAATCACAGGGATCCATGGAGAGCATCCCTACCCTGATTGCTGTATTAAAGTTGTTTATTAATACATTTGCAAATTAATAAAAGAGAAAGACTTTATATGCCACATTATTAGCCACCATAGTAGGTTGAGCTGATCCTTAGGCTGAGCTGAGTACATTCAGAAATATAGTAAACAGAATTTAGATCGTCTCCCTGTGTGCTGCTATACCAAATTGGTCTAATGTCGGGATTTGGGTGTAATGATGTCAGGATTTGGGTGTAATGATGTCAGGATTTGGGTGTAATGATGTCAGGATTTGAGTCTAATGATTTCAGGATTTGGGTGTAATGATGTCAGGATTTGGGTGTAATGATGTCAGGATTTGTGTGTAATGATGTCAGGATTTGGGTGTAATGATGTCAGGATTGAGACAAAACAAGTGTCATCAAAAAGCCTTATTCCTCAAACAAAAGAGGAGGCAAGACATAATGGCAAGACATCATGGCAAGACATCATGGCAAGACATAATGGCAAGACATAATGGCAAGACATCATGGCAAGACATCATGGCAAGACATCATGGCAAGACATCATGGCAAGACATCATGGCAAGACATAATGGCAAGACATCATGGCAAGACATAATGGCAAGACATAATGGCAAGACATAATGGCAAGACATAATGGCAAGACATAATGGCAAGACATCATGGCAAGACATCATTGCAAGACATAATGGCAAGACATAATGGCAAGACATAATGGCAAGACATCATGGCAAGACATCATGGCAAGACATCATGGCAAGACATAATGGCAAGACATAATGTTATCAAAACAAACCTCCAAAACAAAGTTTTTTTTGTAAAAATCCTTTGTTTGCAATTCAATGGCTTTATTAAGTCCAGGGGGGAGGGGGAGGGGGGGGAATTAGTAAACAAATCCAGGATCAATATTACATATGATTCTCTGTAACAATGAACAACGTCATATCCCATAAGCAAAAAATCGCAAACACAAAGCACATAGCAACAGCAACAGCTGCACAATTAACCTCCACAACAAACAACGCACCCATTAAACAAGGCATTAACATTCCACCCCTCTCCCCCCCCCCCACCCGAGTTTTGGGGTTGGGGCTGAAAATTGGATAGGATTTGTTGTCATCGGCAATGAGTCTTTGCGCCAAGTTTCAGCTCAACAATAGGATGGGAAGTGGATCAATTAGCCACAAGAGAAAGAAAGAAACACATGAACAAAAGCTAGTTAATATAAAGGATTAAAAAATTAAACGTAATAAATGAATATGGCTTGTAAAAATAGGAGTAATTTTTTCTCTGACCTTGTGATATTGTATTAAAAGTTTCTGCAACATAATATTCTTGCATAAATTTGTAATTTATAATACTATTTACACATCTTAAAGATAAACAAATGTGGAATTATCAATGACAAGGAATTTATTTATTTTTTTTATATATATGTTTAGCTGTTTGCCTGGATGGTAGTTTCCACAAATACAAGCTTGGAAGGGATGGATCGCAGACAGACACAGGGAGGAACTGTTTCCGGGTGTCCTATGACATCTATCCTAACCTGGGGGAACTGTTTGATTAATAAGAGCTGTGGTCAAAATCCTTCTGTTCGCTTTATTTTACATTGATAATTAGACTCTTGATAAGACTGGCTGGTGTGGGACAATGCTAAAATATATTACATCTTATGGTGAAGCTGACTTATAAAAAAAAGGCTCTAATTTTGTACATTCAGTGAGACTGGTGCTTGACAAATTTGATTTCAAGCATACTTAACTTTGAAGAGTTTATTCCCCACATTTCATTCACAACCATAAAATATCTTGCTAATGGCAGAAATAACCAGGGATGAGAATGTCTGGAATATATTTCAGCAGATGAAAGAATGAGTTAAACTATTTGGAGAATATCCTGAAGAAAGCATGTTATTATTTTTTATCCTTACGATCCAGATTTATTTAATTTATTTATAATAACAGCCTCATAAAAATATTTTTTCGCTTTTCAGCTCCCATCCTGTTTTTATTTGGCTGTTTGAATTTTTCTGCAGTGCTGAAATAATGCATTTACTGGTCAGAACATAGAACTTGATAAAAGATAGAGCTCTAAATTTTGTTATTATAATTTTTTTCTTTCTTTAAATTTGTGTTAATTAACTTTTCTGACATAAAGTTAAACAGAAAAGATGAGATGTTAATTTAGCCCAAACGCTCTCCTCATTTTGGTTGTGTAAATCAGTTAAACAGCCAATCTGGTACTGAAATTTATACATCAGTTGTACCAGAACAAGTCACATTGTAAAATTGTTTAGTTATTCCTGTAGTAGCTGATTGAATTTAACTGTGCACTTAAGCTTTGACATTTTTTTTCCCCTTTTATGTTCAGACTCAAAATTTTAATCCCATTATTTTTAAAACTGTACATAGTAATAAAAAATATTTTATCACATACAACATGTCTGTCCTTCATATTATAATTTTTGTGTCTGATATTCAACCTGAATTTTACTGAGCTTTAAAAAAAGCCATTCAGAAAAGTCTTCATCCATCTACTTTTGTGTACATTATTATTATTACCTGTTTTCTGCTTTCAGTGTACATTTTCCAAATAAACCAGAGATATTGTCAGCATTTGTCTAAAGTTTGAAAGTTCAGTGTGTGACCATCTCCTTAAAATGACATTAAATTGTGATTTATAAAGTTTTTAATGTGAAGCTCTGCTGGCCGTTTGTTTTTCTCTCAACAGCATTAAGAATAATTTGTGCTGGCACTATATGTTTATCATTCAATAACAGCAATAGTTTATCCATGGATTTCATTCTTTTACTGGTGCACAGAAATATGTTCTCATAGTCATACCAGCAGGCAATCTACAGAGTGCTGATGTCCTATGTCACTGCATTTGTTTGTTTTTGTATAACTATTTTTCAATATATTCCTATTGCTTGAGGGTGAGATGACATCACAATTTCTATATTTTTAAGAAAAAAATAATGAGGTGTCGTTTAAATGTCAGTAAATAAAAATGATACATTTTTACCACCTTAAAAGCCAGAAAATAAATGCTTGAAAACAAGCCAGCCAAAGGCAAGAGCAGAATGAGATCTGTGCGAACAACATTTGAAATACAATTGCCCTTCTCTATTTTTCTTTTTAAGGTGAGCCAATTTCTGTTTTATAATTAGCAAGGTAAAATCGGTCTCACTGTTTGTTTTTTAACAGAATTTTAAATGAAATGGTGATAATGGTGCAGCATTCTTTTTCTCAAAAATTGTCCAATGGAATCAGATTTGCTATTGATAAATATGCGAGTGTGAGCTTTTCTTCATAATTCATCATATCATTTTTAAAAAAAACAAAAACAATTTTTTTTAGCATAAATTTTATTTTCCATACACAGAACCAAAGTTTGTTTATAAAGAATAAATAAATGATTTACTAGGCATTGGTTAATTTGTACTGACAAGATAGGTTAACTTGTACTGACAAGATTGGTTAACTTATACTGACAAAATTGGTTAACGTGTACTGACAAGATTGGTTAACGTGTACTGACAAGATTGGTTAATTTGTACTGACAAGATTGGTTAATTTGTACTGATAAGATCGACACATTTTTTAACTGAATTTTTTTCAAAGTGCATTTTCCAGTCAATGTATTCTATTCACTCCTGGGTTCTAGAGTTAAAGTTTTTTTCATATTCACTGTAACAGTTGAAACTGCCAATTATTTAATCATGTTTTGTTGCACATGAAGAATACCGGCTTATATCATTGTGCTTTGTGAGAAATAATTTCCCATCCAATGTTTACTGCACCATAAGGTTGTCACATTGGCAAATACCTTCTTGCACAATATCATCACTTCCTTCCATGGTGTCAGGCTTTTAAATTTAGAAATTTTGTTACAATCGCACGGGATTGGTGTAATGATAACAAAATTGCTAAAGCAAAAATAAATATAACTGAAGATGGAGCATACTGCGTGTTAATTTTAAAATGTCACTTTACCCATCAACAAAACATTCTAAGGGCCATTTGAAATAGTCTGACATCAAAACAAAAATGCTAATAGTAGAACATCTGGCCCTAATGGGACAGCGGTCCCAGTGTTTCATTCAACTGAAGCTGTTGTGAGAACTGATATGTCACCCCAGACGGACCAGGTGGTGGCTTTAACGCTTTGCAGACCAGCTGGAAAATAGTTTAGACAGGCATTAATCCATTGATTTGAAATCACAGAGTATTGTGAGAAATAAGGGTGTCAGAAATAAAAGTTATCAATTGTGCAATGATTGTCTTCCAATGCAGATGACATTTCCTACCTAACTTTCAGAATTATTTTACTTTAAAAAACAACAAGCAAGCAAAAACTGGTGAAGTTATTAAACAGTTCTTTGAATCAAGTATCTGGCTAGTGTTTGTACTTTCCCCACTGTGCAATACTTCAATATTTTACGCCACTCTGATGTGATTAATCAAGGCTATTGCATATCACAAATCAAATAAGCTGATGCGCTTTAGTGTAAGAAATATTTAAATGCTTAATTTGATTGATGTGGAGTTTGGATGGAGGAAAGATTTTGAAGGAGTCTAATGGGCAGAACATTTTGAGAAGCACCATCACAGCTGCCGTCTAATCTTAGGTTGGAAATTCGATCTCAGCCACGAATTTTGCCATAATCAATGTTCGATGAACTCAAATGAAGAACACTGGATTGGTTTGTGGCCATATGTAGCAAAAAGTTCTCTTGCCCTTCTTTCTGTATTCTATCAATAGTTTTCATGTCTATTCAAGTGTCAGATCATTGGCTTCCTGTTACCCGCCTGATCAAGTCAAAACAATGAACGCAGATGGTGTCTTAGTGTAACTATCCCAGGCTATTTTCAAGTATATCTTTTTCATGTGATTGAATTAGTGATATTTTTGCAATTTTTTTTTTCTTTTTAAATGTGAAACCCAAAATGTTTACAATTAAAAGTGTTAAATAATCTGTTCTCTGTGTTTTAAAAATTATTTTAACATAAGCAAAAAATTATTTGAAAAAACAGCTATTGCCATGTTATGAAAGCAATGCAAAGTTTCTACTGCATACATATTTTACCATTTTTTAGCTGACTGTCAACATCCGACTGTATTCATTTCCCTGCTCAGTTCATTTGACAAAAATTGAATTCTAAGTCCATTTTTTCTCTGGCATCCATCCGTCACAATGTGACGAATGTATAGATATCGCGGGACGAAATCATAGGGCCTGGATTTATTCTTAAGGGGTATAATTTATTGGTTCCCTACACTACACGCAAGAAAGATACAGCTTGGCACCAGCAGTGTCACAGTATTTGGAATTTTTTATTGTGTCTATTTTATCCGCCTACAGAACTCCACCTCCGTGTTTGAAATCAGGGTTTTCTTCTCTTAGACTGTGATGAGCTGCCATCCAAAGTGAACGAGTCCCATCCACCCCGGGTTGCTGATGATGGTTTTGCTTGAGTGGGCTTTGGTGGGGATTAAAACTCCAGACTACGAACTTGGGAAACTTCCGATTAAACCATGGCGTAAACTAATCTGTTCCTGAGGCATTTGGAGACGAGCCATTTTTTTAAGCCACACACAAGCCCTGATAAGGGCAATAGAATCTTTCTGGTGTCAAAATATATTTAATCGTGAGATAACAATGACGTGAAAGTTGTATCCTAACCTAGGTGTGACATGACGTAGGTGTGACATGACATCCTTTCGCGTAATCTAATATTAATTAGCTTTATTTAATTATAAATCCTGGCTCTGTCTTCAGATTTAATGATCAAATTTTCTTTGTAATTTGTATGTTAAATGAAAAATGACATACTCAGATACACTATCAAATGACAACCAAGGTGTCGAGTTCCGAGATGCACCAACATGCCCTATAAAATAAATAGATAACATGTATCGGAGTGAAAATCGTATGTTTCATTCTGCAAATAAATTAAAGGCGATCAAACCAATTAGACTAGAATGAGTAACTCATATCAGGCTAACGATTGTATGTACACCGTAACCAACCATCATGACTTTAAAAAAAAAAAAAAAAAAAACCATTCATGTTCTTGCACGACCGTCATGTCTTACTAATGTTTTAACTTGTCCACACCAGTGAGACGAAGAAGAAACTGGGCGAAATTGTCGTTTGCTGTAATTTTTGTCCCCAGGAACGCTTCCTCCTACTTCACAAAGCCTTTCTGTCCTCACACATTATTCTTCTCTCTTCATGTCTCATCGAGTAGTTGACATATCGTCGTCTTTTCGGAACAAGAAATGGATTTGCTAATGCTGCAACTAAAGTTAATTTGATCTAACCAGTGGTTCCTAACCTTTTGTTTCCCCCGGCCCTGTGATCCTACTGAAAAGGTTTAATTTTCCGCATCTTCACCCTCCCCATTTTTTTTATTGGAAAAGCCAAAATTTAAAAATGACACCCCCCCCCCTTCCCTATGCCACCGTCGGGAATATTGACCTTTGATTTCGTTGCCTGGTAGGACTAGACATTCGGAGCTGTAGAAAAAAAATAAATTAAAAAATCTATCTCTCTTGCAATTTAAAATGACAAAGAACAACAGAAATAGACTTTTAAAAACTTTCCGATCCAGCATTTCTCCTCTCAGACCCCACCCCCACAACCTAGATTTAAAAAAAAAAAGGAAAAGCAATGTAAATACAATTCCTAGGTCAGAGTTCACTCTCCAACCACATAATTCCCCCGCCCCGCCCCCTTAAGCCTCAAAATATAAAAAAAAAAATGATTTAACAAAAATATCATTTCAAAAAAGTAAAAAAAAAAAAAAAAAAGATACAATTCGCACAATCCAGACTCTCATAACTTAAATTAAACACGACGTGTAGTATATGAGGTTTCCTGGCAGCGTGAAGGGTTTTCTGTACATTAGAGTAGATTTGCGAAAGAAATGAGACATACCTCCATGACCATCGTAAACACATAACCACGAAATACACCATCGTATCGACATAACCACGAGATACACCATCGTATAGACATAACCACGAGATACACGTAAAGGCTTAACTATGAGATTATGGAGGATGAACAACAGTTTAGCAATACTTTAGCAACAGTTTACTTCGTTAATAAAGTCAAAAATTTAAAAAAAACCCAGATGTAGATAAAGAAATATATTTTTAACAAAAAATGATTTCCACCAGATATCTTCCATCTTGCTTGTCAGGTTTAACCTACAAACACACACACACACAGTTTTTTGTAGCAGCCCCATTTAAGTGACAGTAAACTAAAAATCGGGTTCAAATATTCCATATTTATCACTTGCACTAAGACAAGTTAGTTTTACAAAACAGAATTACTGTCAACAACAACACAGACACACAGACACACACACACAAGTGCGCGCGCGCGCACGCACGCACACAAATAAATAACTATTACAAAAGACATCGATGAATTGTTTGTATTTCTTTTAAGACAACATAACACATACACATATGTTAAAACAAATGCATGAGGAGTTTTATAATGAAGCCACGACTGAATAGAAGCCGATTGCTTACGGCAAACAAGAAAATTATCTTTAACATCAACAGTTTTGTTTAATCCCATTTTTTAAACACATTCACAGGTAAGCGAATTACATCACCGCAGACATCTTTGATAATTAACAATATTGATTAGACGAATTAAATTTGAAATGACATCTTTAAACATGAAACCAGAGGCGTAGCGAGGGTGTTTGGCGCCCGGGGACAAGATTCGCGCCCGGGCACAAGATCCGTTTTAAAGCGCCCCTTTTTCTTTTTTTCAACTCTCAAACCCATTATTTTTACCAATAATATAATATCAAAGCATATTTTGGCGCCGCTAACTAGCTTGCGCCCGGGGACATCTGTCCCCCCTGCCCCCCTCGCTACACCTCTGCATGAAACGGTTGGTATGTGTATAATTTAAGCAACTGCGATATAAGCAACACAATAATGTGCAACATTCATCATGATTCATGACCAAAAAAAATAAATAAATAATAATAACAAGGTTTGACTCATCAATATGCAGCCATCACATTACATTTCATAACAAATAACTCCTAGCAGAGTACCACCATTTTTGTTTGAAATCAGTGGTCTTTAAAAATGATAACTAAAAAATTCACAAAACAATGTTCAAACCACAGTTTAAGACATACTTTGTTCATGGCCATTGTCGTTTGACACATCAAGATTTTTTTAAAAAAAAAACAACTCGACAGAAGTCTCAAATAAAAACAACACAATTTTTTTTTATCGAAGGCTTATATTGCACTTCCTTCTAACTGTCACATCGCGCACCGGGCACTAATCCCTCATCCCGAAACACCATCTAAAAAGCACCTGTCATTGACATTTGAGAGATAAACTGGGTTTTAAGAATGTCAGTTTTTTTAAAGAAAAAGAAAGAAGAATATAACAAATGACATCTTTTTGTTTGGTCTTGACATTTGTCTAGTCATTTAACAAGGAACATGTCATTAATCTATCTTTTATATCTTGCCAAAATATGATTAAAAAAAAAGCCAAAGAAAACAAAAAAATTGAAAGCTAAAAAAAAAAAAAAAAACAACAAACAACAGTTAAATGGTTAGAAACTTGCAGAGGGAGCCACTTCATGTTGTGAGATTTTAAGCCACTTAAAAATTAGTATGTACAAATTTAATCTGAAGGAAACAAGATTAGACTTGAAAACTTTGTGTTGTTGTTGTTTTTTTTTTGTCATCATAAACGACGACAACTTTAAAATAAGATATATATCACACATAGCAAGATCCAAATTGGTATCTTTTTTTAAAAAAAAAGAAAACAAAACATATGTTATATAGCAATAGGTTTAATTTTAAAAGACGGAATACATGTTGGAATTATACCACCACAATCTGTTCACAATGTTAGCTGGTGGTCCAATCTTGACATGGATATAAGAGATAAGAGCGAATTAAATTTTCTTTAAAAGGCTGAAACCCACCAAAAGTAAATCTAAGGTGGAAATTTATTTTTAAAAAATCAACAACACCCCTTGTCATCATTTTAAAACCGTGCTGTTTATCCCAGGGGTCTCAAACGTATCTGCTTACGTCCCAAATGTGCCTCTCCAGCTTTGCACTGCACGCCACAATGTCATTTGCATCAAACATTATAATAAGAAACCATACTTATCTATAAAGTATGTAGATGTTGTGTCACCTTGTTCATCCGCATGATTATTCTGGCAGTGAGAGTGTGAGACCCCTCGTTTAGTTTTTATGCAAGGAGGAAATATAATAAAAGCTTCAAGTAAGAAACAATAGTAACTTGGCTGTGATTTTAAAAAAAAAAATGTCTGCATGAGACAGTCTTTTAAATTGATTGCCAAGTGGTAAAGTTTGTAAATGATCATTTAAAAAAAAACAAAAACATGTGATGTATTGAAAATCATGAAGTCAACATGACATTCAATTATGATCACATCATTACAGAGCCAACAACATAGTACACAAATAGTATCTACCTAGCAGACCGCCACTATCACTAGAACCCAGCCAAAGACTCTCTAGCCTAGTTTTACTCAAGTTTTGGAATCTGTGAGGACAAATAAAAATTTAGAGAATTCGGTAGAGTGCAACTCTAAGATTTGTTCATGATTTATCAGGTAATTATATGTCATCGTTTCCCCTTAGAATTTCGTCTACAATAACTCTGGGAATATAAATACGTTGGGGCTGGGGAAAGTAAACAGTTTAAAAAAGTCCTCTAAATTGCTACGCAACATTTATGGAGATTGAAGATCAATAAAATACCACATAGACAGCTTTAAAAAAAACACAAATATCTTCATAACCATATTTTCATTCTACAATTAATAAGACCATTGAATCATCTAATAGAGATTGATATTTTTTTATTCAGGGCAAAATCTTCTTTGTACCAATGTCCCAATTTTTCTAAAAATCTGAAACAACCAACCGGGCACCGGCTCTATGTTTATCAAATATATTCGGGGGGGGGGGGAAGATACCCACGCCGGGATACAAAATAATCCTGACCTGACTTCGGGGTCTGGTAGGAGTTGAGGATGCACAGCTCTGAGTGTTTGCGTATACATATATTTATTTATTTATTTATTTATTTAGGCATTTTTATATAGCGCTTATCATAAAGCTCTAAGCGCTTTACAGTTATTAAAACATGTAAACTAAGTAAATACAAATGAGACACTAGGATAGTAACTACTATTCTATAGAAACAATGAAAATGGCTATAAAAAGAGGACACTTTGACACTTCAGGATTAAACCGAAACAGAAAATTAGGTAGGGCAAGGAGGGTGCATCACAGGTCATAGGCGGACCTAAACAGATGAGTTTTAAGGGACTTTTTGAAAATGGACGAGGTTTCACTATGACGTATATGGAAGGGGAGCTGGTTCCAGAACGTGGGCCCATGGAAGCAGAAGGAGCGTTCACCGATGGTCTTAGTTTTAGTTCTTGGGATTGAGAGGGTTCTACTGTCAATGGAAGAACGTAGTTGTCTTGTGGGGATGTAAGGAAGCAACAGTTCAGAGAGATAGACAGGAAAGTGAGGGTCAGTGAACGAGTTGAAGCAAAGATTGGAAGACTTGTATTTGATGCGAGAGGATATTGGAAATATCTGGGATGATTGTCAACATTATTTTCCAGTTAATGCATAATGGCTGTCTTGCTTATGGTTGAAATGGCTAGAAAGACTTTGCCATTGTATGCTTGTACTTAGTTTTTGTCGTGTTGCGTTTGTTTTAAATGTGGTAAACTATAGATTTGTTTTTTTTTGACTTTGTACCGCGCTTCGAGCCTTTGGGGATGAAGCGTGTTTTTGAAATGAACTTTATTATTATTATTATTATATATATATATATATTTATATATATATATAATATAAATATATATATTTATTTATTTATATTTATATATATTTCCTATATATATTATATATATTATGGCCTTTAAGCGATGAAAGAAAAAAATTGACATTTCAAGCAAAGAGTCTAAAATTTTTGATTCAATCAAATATATTTTGTTCGCTATATCACTTTTCAAAACTTGATACTAATTGTGCGCCCAACAGAACAATATGAATCAAATGGGAAGGGGAAAAAAAACGGCCATTAAAATATCAAATTTGACAATCAAGATATTTAACTCAGAATTAAATAATATTTTATTCCAAATTATGTTTAATATTATTTTCTTTTGAAATTTGATAGCGTAAGAAAAATGCAATTCAGCAGTGTCTTTATTCAGCGCCCACGCATTTATTTCATTTTTTTTTTCGGTAGCTAAATTTCTTCTTCTTCTTCTTCTATATCTTAAGGGCCCACGATCAATTTATTGATCATTTTGGCTCCTATAATTTAAGAGTCATGGCCTACTTTTTTGTCTTTAAAGATAAAACCTTATGGGCCCGCTGTTCAATTCTGTTTCTCAGTCGAAATTATTACTGCATTTATTTCAGAATCCGTACATTGCGTATGTAAATGACGTATTCACCAAATCTGATTAAATTAACATGAGAATAATTTCTTGGCCTATACAGAATTTCAGCTCTTTAGCTTATCGTGGACGTGAATGACATCTTAGATGAAATAACTTACTAATTATTGACGCTAGAAAGCAGCTTAGCAACCCCTCCTCCACCCCCCACCCCCCGAAGTCACAGACTTTTTTGTTTGTTTGTTTCCTTGATACCTAAATTATTTCTTTCACTCTGGCGATTTTTCAACACGCCATTGGAAATTTTAGATAAATGCTTTAACTAAAACCTTTTTCATTTTATCATTGAGATAGAATGTAAAACAAACAAAATTCAACTAAGCCATGCTGGGTTCGTAGTGTCATTTGATGCCAGTCTCAGATCATGTTTGAGTTTCATGAAAAAAACGCAGGAACTATTGTGACAATATAATAATATAGTGGCAGAGATGTGATAATAGTGTTACATTTTTTTTGTTCTAGCCAACACGTTCAATCGAAGGGAGGCTTATTTGAAGCGGACTGATATTGTGACTTCGACTGTGTAAGACTAATATGATCTTCAAACTTTTTTTTTTTTTCTTTTTTTTTTGTTTAAAAGATTCTTGAAATGAAGCACGCTACTTGTAAGGCTCATAAGCATCTGAATCGAAAATGTTCAACCATTTTTAAAAAGTGGCAGTATTCCCGAAAGGCAACGTCACACGTTTGGAGTATGGTAACCAAGGTTACAAAACTGATAACAGAGGCCTATTACCAACGTCTGAATAGATCATATTTTAAAAGTAGAAACCCTACCGATATCCACTCATCGGAGTCAACAAGAAAACACAACTTCTGACCCAAGTGACCGGCGTATTTACACTGCTTGATGTCCCGTGCTGAAATGAGGCCCCATTGTCATCTTTTTAACAAACCTAGAGACATTTCAAATCAAAATTTAAACAAACTCAGAGGCCTTCGTCTACCTTTCTCCTATTCACATTCCGGTTTGTAAACAACTCTACTATGTCACCATTGGAATGACAATCGAATAAACGAATCTGTCACCATGGGAATGATGCCCGTATAAACGAATCTGTCACCATGGGAATGATGCCCGTATAAACGAATCTGTCACCATGGGAATGATGCCCGTATAAACGAATGTGTCACCATGGGAATGATGCCCGTATAAACGGATCTTTTAGCCAAAAGTCTGAACAGCGAGCTTTTTTTATTGTAAAAAAAGTTCATGCACTGACAGGGTTGAGCACGGTGGCGAGGAGAGGAGATTGAAGCAATGTGTGCTCGAATTCAGTGGCGCCATCTCTTGTTTCTAAGCATTTTTATTTTATCCCTTGTTACAACACTCCAGTCTCTGGGAAATGGTTGCAGCTCTTGACAATAAAGGTTATTATATATATATATATATATATATATATATATAGAGAGAGAGAGAGAGAGAGAGAGAGAGAGAGACTAGAGAGAGAGAGAGAGAGAGAGAGAGAGAGAGAGAGAGAGAGAGAGAGAGAGAGAGAGAGAGAGTATTAAAAATATATTTTTTTAAAGAGCTGATTTTTGTAGGAAGGCATCTTCTCTTACATGTCAGTTGATTAACCGGTAGACTATATCTAGCTGTTGTACCGTACCGGTATTAGAACTAGATGCAGCTAATAACCGTATACGATTACGATACTTTTTTTTTTAAACCTATAATAATTAAATAATTTCTTAATTTAAACGTTATAGATGAATCGGGAAATCGGTTCCGATTTTTAAAACAAAATTCTTTCAAAACTTTCATATTACCCTTAATTGGAATTTACTTTGCAGTATTGGCACATTCATTTACTTAGCAGAATTAGCATTAGCACATTCATTTACCTAGCACATTCATTTACTTTGCAGTATTAGCACATTCATTTACTTAGCAGTATTGGCACATTCATTTACTTAGCAGTAGCAGTATTAGCATTAGCACATTCATTTCCTTTGCAGTATTAGTATTAGGCGATTCATTTACTTAGCAGTATTAGCACATTCACTTACTCTACAGTATTAGTATTAGCATTAGCACATTCATTTACCTAGCACATTCATTTACTTTGAAGTATTTGCACATTCATTTACTTAGCAGTATTAGTATTAGCACAATCATTTACCTAGCACATTCATTTACTTTGCATTACCGGGTACCGGGTATTAGCACATTCATTTACTTTGCAGTATTAGCATTAGCACATTCATTTACCTTGCCCATTCATTTACTTTGCATTACCGGGTACCGGGTATTAGCACATTCATTTACTTAGCAGTATTAGTATTAGCACATTCATTTACTTTGCAGTATTAGCACATTCATTTACTTAGCAGTATCAGCACATTCATTTTCTTAGCAGTATCAGCACATTCATTTACCTGGCACATTCATTTACTTAGCACATTCATTTACTTAAAATTTAAAACATCCTTAATTGTTAATTTCAGTGTTTTATTTTTTCCCCTCTCCAATTCCCAACACCAAAAATAATTTTAAAACAACAACTGCAGGAGATTGTTGACCTTGTCCAAGACCGTATAAGGAAACTGGCCGAGATGTGCACTGGACTCCAGGGTTTCCTGCTCTTCCACAGTTTCGGTGGTGGGACTGGTTCAGGATTTACTTCCCTTCTCATGGAGAAACTCAGCGTGGATTACGGGAAGAAGTCTAAACTTGAATTCTCCATCTACCCGGCCCCACAGGTGACAGCTTTTTTTATTCTCTTACCGACCCCTAACTGAGACATTCTCAATCGTTTTAAGTTAGGACCGACAGTGGTTTGCTTGCCTATTCTGCAACAATATTTAACTCTACAGTAAATCAATAGTATAAGATATAGGACTACCTCTCCGGTACCTAATCTGGCTTGATTATACAGTACCGGTTTATTATTACAAAAAGATAGACTGTATCCTTTTGTAATAATAATAATGTGTCATATAGGCTTAACTGACTGCCTAAACTGGCTTGCTTATACAGAATTATGCAAGCTCGTTGAAATAACTGACGAACTTCTACGAAATGCCCTCCCATTTCCTATGCAGTTATCTCAGTTCAGTATCACTTATATCAGCATCGTAGTTAGTAGTAGTTAGCTTTTTATTAAATTGTAGAACATTAAAATTAGATTTAATCTGAAAGTAAACCTTTCGACTCTTTTCGGGCACCCGGTATCTAGGTCTCGACTGCAGTTGTCGAACCGTACAACTCAATCCTGACTACGCACACAACCCTCGAGCATTCGGACTGCGCATTTATGGTGGACAATGAGGCCATCTACGACATCTGCAGGCGTAACCTTGACATTGGTCGACCTTCTTACACCAACCTCAATCGGCTGATTGGGCAAATTGTGTCCTCCATCACGGCGTCTCTTAGATTTGATGGGGCCCTGAACGTCGATCTGACAGAATTTCAAGTGAGTATGGCGTGTTTCAGCCTGGTTTCAGAATTTGGCAAAATGTTTTATATACCGGTACCGTAAAAAAAAAAAAAGCAGTTCTAGTTCTAGGGAACCGGTACGGTATATGTAATACCACTATATAGAACACTATATATATGTATATATANTACGTATATATTAATAGCAACATATCGGTAGCTGAGTTTTAACGCTGTGATACAAATACATGTAGGCCTATTACACTGATACTCTGATACAGGTACCCGTAGTTAGAATAGTTTGTTAATTTATTTTATTTTTTGCCAAACCAAAGGTTTGTTGATTTGTTGGTTGAAACTGAAACATTTATTTCTCGCCTCTATAGATTTTATCATAACTCGTACAGGTACTTTTCCATGAGTACCGGTAGTGAATGTCTCTTGATTGGTTATCTATTGAGAATTAACTATGATTATGATGCCATCATACTTACAAGTTACATACCGGTACCGGTACTTACATCATTTCGTTCCATGTACCGTACCCGTAGTGCATTATAATATTTATAGTAATATTATATACCATGAGAATGAGCAAAGTTTCAGGTAGCATACCTGGGGGGGGGGGGTAGGGGGGGTATTGGGGGTTACCATCCCGGGGTGCTTTTATTTATGTTTATGATGACGGCCTGCGACTGTTGGATTTGGCCCCAGGCAGCACAAGATACGCCACAATATGGCTAGTCATATTTGATAAATATAACAATCTCTAATATCCCGAAGCCCAAACATGTTACATTCGAGGAAATAAGAGCGAAACAAAGTTTGGGAAAACCTGCATAAAATGAACGCAACTAAACAACGAACGTGTCGACAAGTTCGTTGTTTTGTTGCGTTCCTTTTTTTCAGGTTTTCCCATACCGGTACCGGTACTTCGCTTCGCTCGTTCCCTTTTTTTCTAATCTGAATTGAAGTCTCTCCCCCTTATACTTACACCATGGTACACGCACCTGAAACTGGTACCGGGTACCGATCTTTAGAAACAATCGACGATATTTAACTATTGGTATTTTACTTCTACTTCTAAGCTGGTAAGGGGGAAATAGTGGCAAAGATTATCTTTGAAACTAAGCACATCGAGATTTTCAAAATAGATACAGTCCAGGGGCGAGGTTTAATATGTGCTCATATTTATGAGGATAGCAATTCATATTCGTTATGCGAGTCAATTTTGGGCGAACATACGCGTTCATTATGCGGATCTTTCGCAATGCGGGATCCACTGTATTTAAAATTTAAAAACCGAGGATACAATTTACAAATATATTATAACCCGATTTAAGTTACCGGTACATAAGTAAAAGTTAGATTTGTAATTGTTGAGACTTGGCAAAAGCAGGTAGGCAGTACCGCAACATGCCCTCCTTTATATACCCCGGGAACAGCGGGTCATATTTTTTTTTAGTTTCTTGTGATTTAGCGTTAGTTAAAATACCCGGTATTTAATTTTAATTTAAGGTACCGGGTACAGCTTTGGATTTCTCTTCACTTGAACAATTTTTTTTGGGGGGTGGGTGGTGGACACATATATTTAATTTAAGTAAGGCGTGGAGCTTATTGATTCCTACACTTACACACTTGATGAACGATACCAAGCTCCTCTAACTTATAAAGACTGCATAAGTTGCATCCTTGTCTACTCTTTAGACAAATTTGGTTCCCTACCCACGTATCCACTTCCCTCTGGCCACCTACGCTCCAGTGATATCTGCGGAGAGGGCCTGCCACGAACAGCTCACTGTAGCAGAAATAACCAACGCTTGCTTTGAGCCGGCTAACCAGATGGTCAAGTGTAATCCAATGCAAGGTCAGAGCCTGGTACTCCTGTATCCTATTGGGGTTGGCATTTGGTGGGTGGCGCATTTATTGTATATTTACATAAACAAGGATACTTACACGATTCCGTTATTTGAAGTTCCGGAAATTAAAAAAAAAAAATTCTCTAAATTCATTAATTGCTGTACATTAATTATAAGTTGTATAAAAGGATATTTGTTCATGACAGATCCTTACTGTGCTGAACATGGGTTGTCTGTGCACTAGCTCCAATGAATTATGGCTTTATTGTAGGTCTTAATGTACCTGGTAAAGGTCTTACCCTTCCACTGCACTACTTAAAGCTAATGTACCGGTACACAGAGGCCCTAAGCTGCATATCTCATGACATAAAACAGGTAAATACATGGCCTGCTGTCTGTTGTACAGAGGTGACGTCGTCCCCAAAGATGTCAACGTTGCCATAGCCACCATCAAAACAAAAAGAACCATTCAGTTCGTGGACTGGTGCCCCACGGGCTTCAAGGTAGAGTACATGTTTGTGGTTTGTTTGTTGTTTTTTAGGGGTGGGGCAGATCTTCCTGGTTGATTTTGGAGATGTTTAAAGATCAAGATGGCAGGGATGGGGAATGGATGAAAAGCTTGAACTTGGACCATAAAATACTGGTACAGTTATATTATAATCATTTATATGTTTATTTTATTATCCACACGACTACCGTACGTTACCCATTATTCCTAGTAAATATTTTAGAGCTAAAATTAGAAGTATGAATAATTAAGTATTAAGTGTAAGAAACAATAATGCCGTGTGGTAGGTAATCAATGTACAATTTATGTTTATTCATAAGATATAAGTTTTTATTTGTGAGCACCGTACTGATATTTAAGTTCACCGTTATGAATATAAAAATCTTTATGGCGCCATACTCAGGTGGGCATCAACTACCAGCCCCCAACTGTTGTGCCTGGCGGTGACCTGGCCAAGGTGCAGCGAGCCGTCTGCATGTTGAGCAACACGACAGCTGTCGCCGAGGCCTGGGCGAGGCTTGATCACAAGTTTGATCTCATGTACGCAAAGAGGGCATTTGTGCACTGGTAAGAATTGACCGTCGCGTTGAAAAGTTTGAGGAGCGCTGCAAGCATGCTTTTAAGTGTATGTGGAGACGTTATAGCTATACCGGGTATCGAGGTATGGCCAAGCTAGTGTAAAAAACAACAATGTGTTCCTATAGCACGTTCCGCCGAAAATACGCCCCTTTTCCACCCCCCCCCCCGCCCTTTAAGTATTACGGTTTATCAGGTTTTCATTGTGCAGTGCTATTATGACATTTTTATGAGAAGTGTATGATTAATAACATTTTCAAGGAATAATCATTTTAATCACCACNACGACAGCTGTCGCCGAGGCCTGGGCGAGGCTTGATCACAAGTTTGATCTCATGTACGCAAAGAGGGCATTTGTGCACTGGTAAGAATTGACCGTCGCGTTGAAAAGTTTGAGGAGCGCTGCAAGCATGCTTTTAAGTGTATGTGGAGACGTTATAGCTATACCGGGTATCGAGGTATGGCCAAGCTAGTGTAAAAAACAGCAATGTGTTCCTATAGCACGTTCCGCCGAAAATACGCCCCTTTTCCCCCCCCCCCCCCGCCCTTTAAGTATTACGGTTTATCAGGTTTTCATTGTGCAGTGCTATTATGACATTTTTATGAGAAGTGTATGATTAATAACATTTTCAAGGAATAATCATTTTAATCACCACATTGTTAAAAAAAAAAATAATTACATTTAGAAACAAAGCCGCCTTGTGTTTGTAACGCCCTAACGAGTTTGTCACGTGTCCTATTATCAGGTACGTAGGGGAGGGCATGGAGGAAGGAGAGTTTGCTGAAGCTCGTGAAGATCTGGCGGCCTTGGAAAAGGACTACGAGGAGGTGGGAGTGGACTCGCTTGGAGAGCACGCCGAAGACGGGGAGGGAGGGGATGGCTTCTAATGTCTCACGGCATGACGTCACGTGGAGACATAGCTGACACCAAACTGCCAACCTGTGCTCTTTATTCATTAACTATGAACATTCTATTATATTATAATTGCAAAGCCTTTACGGGGATATGGGGTACATCTACATATTCTCTTATAGTCCATCTACATATTCACTTATTAACCTACTGGGGAGCCATCTTCATATTCACTTATTAATTATTAACTACCCGGGGGGCCAACTAAATATTCACTTATTAACTAACTGGGGAGCCATCTAGATATACACTTATTATCTACCTGGGGGGCCATCTACATATTCACTTATTAACTACCAGGGGGGCCATCTACATATTCACTTATTAATTACCCGGGGGGCCATCTACATATTCAATTATTAACTAACTGGGGAGCCATCTACATATTCACTTATTAACTACCCGGGGGGCCATCTACATATTCACTTATTAACTAACAGGGGAGCCATCTACATATTCACTTATTAACTACCCGGGGGGCATCTACATATTCACTTATTGACTACCTGGGGGGCCATCTTCATATTCACTTATTAACTACCTGGGGAGCCATCTACATATTCACTTATTAACTACCTGGGGAGCCATCTACATATTCACTTATTAATTATTAACTACCTGGGGAGCCATCTACATATTCACTTATTAACTACCAGGGGGGCCATCTACATATTCACTTATTAACTACCAGGGGAGCCATCTACATATTCACTTATTAACTACCTGGGGAGCCATCTACATATTCACTTATTAATTATTAACTACCTGGGGAGCCATCTACATATTCACGACTTATTAACTACCTGGGGGGCCATCTACATATTCACTTATTAACTACCTGGGGAGCCATCTACATATTCACTTATTGTTCTTCGAGAAGAAAACTTAATAAAATGCGGGGTTGGGGATTCCGTAATATCGAAACACACAAAATATTGTACTGTACCAAATTTGGTTGTTTTATCGCGATCCTATGGTTTTTGAAATGTTTAAAAAGCGGTTTAGGGGGAGGCAATTAAAGTTGGAATTATATATTTAAAATGAAAAACGTTTATCTTGAATTTGAAAGTAACTTTTGTTTGAAACACATTTTTTATTGTTATCAATTTTTACCCGAACCAAAAATTTATGAAAGAAGAATAGAAGTAAAAGGGAACGTCCATTGGAGTTGAAGTGGACCGAATGATGTCTCTTTTACTTTTACCAGGGCTCAAGGGGAGCACCAACCCCTGTGGAGTTATCCACCTCCGTAATAATAATAATAGCAGTGGTAGCAGTTTGTTCGGGGATCAACAGGGGCTTCCACCTCCTAATATTTTGGGGGCAGTGAGTTAGTTTGAATCAAACTTAATCAAGAGTGTTAGCTGTTATTGCTTATAGTCTATAATAGACTATAGGGAAATGGTGGTACCGGTATGTGCTATTTTGTTCTTCCTGGAACTAACAATAAATCTATAGAGATGGCCTCCCTTGCATTTGCATACCTGTTGCTTTTCATTTGCATGTTTATAATATAGTCGTATCACTGCTTCATTTTCCATAACTCCTACATATTATAATTATGTCGTTAACGTAAAAACTTACTTGTCCAACAGAAAACAATTGAGATAGTACAGCTTGTACAAGTAGGTCTATAAACCAGTACCGTAGTAAATATATTACCCATGTATTTGTCGTCACCAATTGACTCTTACTTATTGATCTTAAAACCATTCAAATTAAAATGAACGCTCCAAAAATGAACTCTTTCACTCAATTCTATTACCCGGTACTGGATTATTATTATAATCAATTATCGACTGAAAAGTTGTGAAAGGCATATCTGTAGATATAAATGATATTATAGTTCGTATTATTTAGATGTACTGGTATCGGTTACCTATAATTTAAAGCTTCGCTCATGTTGTTTCAGAATAAACATTATTGTTATAAAGAGACTTTAAATTTTAATCAGCATTGCCGGTACAGTGGTAGACTACCTATAATCTTAAATCTCACTATAGATTAAATTATAATTAAATTCTAATTCTACCTCAGATTGTGATACGTACACCTTTCATATTTTTCCCCACATGTTCATGGCATTATGAATTATTGTAATTAATTACCATTTTTTGTGTATTATTTATACATTTAATAACATTATAAATGAAACTGTCTTGGTTATTTAATGTTTGTAACGAAGAATACAAGACTACATAAAAGATTTAGAAATTAATTAAGAACAAACAGTTTTCACAACCACAGTCAAATGGGGGGGGGGGGACGACACACACAAAAATTCATTTTTATTTTTAGTGATTTTAATAATTCTCTGGAAACAATTCAAATAAAACAAGAAAAATCAGTAAAACATTTAACAACATGCACTCAAAACAAATATGTATCAGTAAAACATAAAAGATTTAGAAATAAATTAAGAAAAAACAGTTTTCACAACACCATGCAAATGGGGGGGGGGGGGACGACACACACAAAAATTCATTTTTATTTTTAGTGATTTTAATAATTCTCTGGAAACAATTCAAATAAAACAAGAAAAATCAGTGAAACATTTGACAACATGCACTCACAACAAATATGTATCAGTAAAACAATTAAATAATGCATTCATAACCAATAATGACAGTGATAGAGGGAAAATATCTTGTGGAACTCTATTTGGGGGGAAAAGGTTTTCTGTACCGGTATTTTATAGAAATATTCAAAGTATTCTAATATATGGTACGGTACTTAATAAATTTCTGGCTGTTTTACCACCCTTCATAACAATGTCAGAGGAACAATGGAAAAACATGCATTCATAACAATAATTTATTAAATAAATCAAATGTTGGATCAATACTATAGTAATAGTACCACATGATAATTAAAGACACATTTTCATTTACATAAGATGCACACAAAAAATGTCACTTTGTTATATTTGTATTATAAATTATTACCGTATATGAAAATATTTAAAAGAAAAAAAAAATGCAACTGCCAATGGCAAACTCTACATATTTTAGGCTAACTCCAGAATATTCAGCGTAGGGTTAGAACCAACTGTTCACATCATAATAACAAAGCTCAAGTCCTTTACACATAAGAATAAGTAATAAAATAGGCCCAAAATTTTGTTAGATTACAAAATTGCACACACAAAAATGAATGGTTTTTATTATTTTATTTTTTTAAGTTAAAACGTTGCAATGATGTGAGGGGGGAAATGTCTCAGTCTCAAACTCAAGGAATCAAATTAGATGAAAGAAATGGTTAAAGGTGACTCATGGAAAAAATAAACTTAAAATGAAATCACTGTAAATCTTGGGTCGAATAAGCAGACCTATCTAAATCCTATTCATTAGATTGGAAATTTAATGTTTATCCATTGCCTATATTAGTTTGGTTTGCAGTTGATAACATGTTGCCAGTACTCCTCTTGACTTTGAAAGACCAAGTAACAAGAAGGGCAAGACATTACCTGGGCTTCTGTGATCTTATGAACACCATTCAGATGTTTCTTAAGATGGTGTTTAAACTTAAACTTGGACCCACAAACAGAGCATGTAAATTTCCTATCACCATGGGTAGCCATGTGAAGGTACAGCCCACCTTTGGTCTGCAATCCTTTCCCACACAGTTTACAGCTGAAAGGCTTGTGCATGGTATGGTAGGTTGACATGTGACGTTGATAGAAGGCCCAAGATGGAAATATTTGTGAACAAAGGTCACACTTCAATTGTTCCCCTTCAGGTAAGCCGAATAATCCTTGAAGTGGTTGCGAATGATGAGGCCTCCGTGGAGATGTAAAACTGTTTCCTGTAACACAGAAAGTCTTTTTATGGACAAATCAAAGGAAATGGTAGCATCCTAAAATGAGTATATTACACTTGTCTCCATGCTTTTAGTTCAAATGGAGCCACTACAAAACTCCATGTGACTGCTTAATTCCTCGGCATACTGAAAATTAGCCATACACCTCCCACACTGGAACAGTTTGTGCACACATCTCATGTGCTTCTTAAGATGATGCTTCAATTTAAATCTTGAATCACAAAGGGCACAACAGAACCTTCTTTCTCTGTGATTTATCATGTGTGAACGGAGACTGTATTTATTTTTGAAAGATTTGTGGCAAAAACCACAAGGAAAAGAGGTGCATTCTGGGTGATAATGCAGCAAATGTTTTTGATACACTGCCCTATTGGGAACAGTAACTGAGCAGTATAAGCACTGGAGTGGGTGCTCAGAGGGATTATAAGATGAACTTGAAGGTGAAAAATGTGGATCTAAATGCCTGATCTGTGCCTCAATTACACTCTTGGATCCTGAAAAGAAATGGTTTAGTCAATTCATCTCGAAAGGTTAAATGAAGAGTCACGGTGGTACGGTAATGATATACTTTTGCAATCTATTTGCCTACAAAACTGAGTAAAACAATAACCCTACAAACATAAGATTCTATCTAGTCGCGTAATGCTAGAAGAGACTGTTAGCTACTTAAAGAAAGCTGTACATGATGACAGAAGATGTTGATTATAGCCGTGTTGATCACTGAAGGTGGCCAAACATCTACCACATTGAATAAGGTTGTGGAGCCTCTTGGTGTGTTCTTGCAAGTGGTGTTTTCGCTTGAACTTTGAATCACAAATCCCACACAAATATAACCTTCCAGCATGGGCCTGCACATGAATTTGTTGGCCAGTCTTCGTCTGAAATCCTTTACCACAAATGCTACAAGAATATGGCAGGGTCTCAGGGTGACTTTCGGCTAAATGTCTGTGGTACATTTTCAGAGTTGAGAATTTCACAGGACACTTCATACACCAGATAGGTTGCACAGATGATGATGATTGGTTTGACCTTTGGTGAACCTGCACTTGATCAAGAGAGCTCATCTCTGAAATAAAACAATGTAATCAATGGAGCATTATATTGAGGGATTTATTATTCTGAGTTTGAGTGCAACATTCACTAAAGATGTTATTTAAGAGCAGTTGACATGTTTATGGATATGAAACACATTGTGCTAAATGCTGGTTAAATTCTTGAACATCTCTGAATGTGGCCAAACATTTCCCACACAGTGAAAGACCGTGTATTTTTAAATGCCTTTTCAAATGATGTTTCAGCTTGAAAGTTGCTACACACATGCAGCAAGAAAATGTCCTGCCATCATGTGCCAGCATGTGGGTGTTCTGTCCTGTTTTCGTGTGAAATCCTTTACCACAGATTGTACAGCTGTAAGGTAATGTATCTGGATGTTGCTCTGACAGATGCCTCTTATAAATTTTTACAGATGAGAACTGTTGTGGGCAGTGTAAGCAAGAGACTACATCTTCATCAAAATAATTCTGGGCTCCAGATACTGATGATGGAAATGGATTATATCCATGGGGAATGTGTCCTTGCTTAACAGGGCACCGCTCTGAAATAAAACAAGACATTTGATGGGAAACTGTGAAATTCTAAGCCTTCAAAATTTATTGAATATGTTTATGAATGGTAACAAGTAACAGTACAAAATATGTGATACTATTAATTGAAAAATAAACAAATACACACACACACAAAATATTAATAAATGTTCAAAATATTCAACAAATAAAGAATTCTTAAGAAAACAGTACATTTCCAAAATGCTCACAAGAACACTTTTTTAAGTCATGGAACATCTATTTGCAGTTCATCAAGTGTTGATTATATTCATCTCCAATACCAAATACATGACAACACAACATGCATTGTGCCAGCTTGTGAATTTTTTTTAGATGTGTTTTCAGATGAACTTTCTGATTGAATCTTGAGTCACAAATATTACACATAAATTGCCTTCCTTTGTGGGCTTGCATGTGTAAATTAAATCCAGTGGAAGAGAGAAACCCTTTCCCACAAATAGCACATGAATAAGGTTTCTCGCAACTCTGTAATTGTGAAACAGGCAAATTATGAGCAGAGTCCATTACAGAAATATTAGATCTGCTTATATACTGCCCAAAACTTGCGTTTGTATTGAGAGGCTGATGTACAAATGAAGCTGAACTGCATGTTGATGTAGAGACCGATTCCAAATATTTTGCAAGTCCTTTTTTGTGTTTGTGAAATCCTGCAATAAACAAAAGAAAATCTCTTTGAAGCTATCACTATCAGCATAATAATTAACAGATGGTGAGCTAATCCTTCTGGCACGGTTGGTATATCATCCTGAAAGCTTGCTCATACAACTTTCCTTTTTTAGCTCATATAGATCAACTTGCTTAATAAAGGTATTCACAAAAAGTGATTTTTAAAATATTTTTTTCATTTCACAGCACAGTGGAACATTGTTAAATAACAAGGTAGGTCAGTGAGATGATAAAGAGAACAATTTTCAATATTTATCTTGCAAAATTATTATACAAAACAATTTTTTTTTAAAAAGATACCATTTAATGTTTAAACTGTCTGCTGTACAATTTAACAGCTAGCTATACAGAAGTATTTTTACAAGTGGATAAATGTCCAATAAAAATGTGACTTTCTCTAAATACTGACAGACACTTGGAGCATTGATGCAAAGAATGAAGTGTTCTAACATGACGCATAAGATGATGTTTTAACTTGAACTTTGCACTACAGTTAGAGACTGGGCAGACAAATGTCCTGCCTTCATGGCCCTGCATATGAAATATCAAATTTTGACGGCTGAAGCTACCCTTCCCACAAATTTTGCAACAGAAAGGCATTAAGTGTCCATGAGATTCGCAAAGATGCTTTCTATAATTGTGTTTATCATTATAAACATTTGAACAATGCTGACAGTGAAATGTTTCAAACATGTTTAACAAATGTGAATTGTCTTGCTCCATAAAATTTGGAAAAACCCTTGGCGGTTCTTGATGAAAAATGGATACTGGTTCTGAAACAAAGTTAAAAAATGTATCACTTTATGATCTACCTTGTTTGAAGACGTTTTACTTATTTCAAAGCTTTCAGCCCCAAGACATGCAATTTTGATTTTAAGTTCAAATTTTTTATATTTTTTTTTAAAATTTTAAATTTCCAAAGAAAAAAAAAAACAAAAAAAAAAAAAAACTTGGAAATGTAGAAATCATTATGTAGCAGCCAGAATTTAGAAAACAAAAATATCCAAATACATTTAAAATTGTAAAAAGAAAGTTCTATTATGACATATGATAAACTTTAAAGCATTGTTATACAAAGACATGGCAAAATTATTCTTCACCTGTGAATAATAGATATCTTAAATTAAAGACTTTCTATTATACCAGGTATGGGAGAAAAAAAAACGAAGTTTACAATTTCTATTTTAGTGTTATAAGATTAAATGTATATCAAAATGGAAACAATACAATTACAAAGCAATGACATTACTATTCTTTAATGTGTATGACATGAAGAAGGAATTAGAATATATTTTCTATTCATAACACATTGGAAGGTAATCTTATTTTGAAAAATTATTGGCTTACAAAATTAAACATATATTTAAAAAGCTTATTATTAGAAGTATATAGTAAAAGAAAAAAATACATGTTAATAATATAAATTGCAGATGTAGCAAAGCCCATAAGAAAAAAGAAAAAAAAATCTCTTTTGCTATTGAATATGCATTAAAAAAAATTTTAAATAGGGGTTATATTAAAATGTGTGTATGTATCTATATTACTCAGTGTATTCAAAAAGTTATGAACCGCTATTAATTGTGTTCTCATTTTAAAAAAATGAAGAAACTAGTTCTTACAAATAGGTTCTAATGATTCTGTATCAAATGTTGATTAAATTCCTTTCCGACGTTAAATAATTGTGAACAAGTGGGACACTGAGCCAATTTGTGAACATTATTTAGATGTGACTTCAGGTGTGCTTTCTGTTTAAACTTGGAATCACAAATAGAGCACATGAACTTGCGTCCTTCGTGGGCAAGTGTATGGTGATTCAAGCCGGATACACTGAAAAAACCTTTTCCGCAAAGCTGACATTGAAAAGGCATTTCATTTGAGTGAAACTGAGAAATGTGTGCTCTAAGCATCAGTTTGCTCATGTCTTCCCCACAGTGAGAGCACTTAATCCAATCAGAAGTCTCAGTCCTTTGTGGTAAGTGATCATAATGTTCTTTGATATTATAAGCTCCATGCATACTGGCTGCTTTGAAACCACCAGATGTAGAACTGAATTGACTGACTTTGTCCAATTCTTTGCTTCCTTTACGGTGCTGCTCTGAAACAATAAATAAATTTAATAATTCAATCTCTCATTTTTTCTCTTGCTTTATGTGTTGACAAAATTGGTTAAAAGACCAAGATGGTTGTTAGGCCTTACAAAGTCATACTATTGTTCAACTTTAGAAAATAAATTGGTTTGTAAAGAAAGCAAATCTACATCGATGCATGAGTATCAGGACAACACAATACATGAAGATCATATTCCTGGCCGACTCGAAATATTCCTGGACAAGTTGAACAAGGGATACATCCATGAATGCTCCTCAGGTGCCTCTTTACTTTACTTTTCTGAGTAAAAGTTGTATCACAAATGGGGCACAAGAATGTTTGACCTGCATGTTTTCGTTTATGGTGATTTAGGCCAGAAACACTGTAGAAACCCTTCCCACATAATGTGCACTGAAAAGGCATATCATGTCCATGGATTTGTGATAAATGCTGTCTAAGTGTGGAGGATGAAAATTCTGCTTTGCAGTGAGGACATGGTAAATGATCTTGCACTTCTGTAGTCATTAATCCAACTCCCAGCGTTTTGTAACCTTTTCCAGGAAGCACTGAGTAATGAGATGCATATGTTGAGAAACTTGTAGATCTATCAACAGCAGCACTATATGGGAATTTTGATGCTTCAGACGTATTATTTTCTGAAATAAAAAAATTTGGCAATATTCAACTTTCCTCTCCTTCCTAAATTTTTTTAAAGCATTTTGATAAAAGTGCACACATCAGCTTAAAATACATACAATAATACACATTTCCAGACAAGTGAGAAAAATGAGCATAGACAATATTTACCCTCAAATGCATACTTAATTTTAAGTGTAAATAAATGCATGCTCAGCAAAAATTCCTACATGAATGGACAATGTTTTAATTATTACAATGTAACACATGCTGATTGTATTCTACACCAAGTCGAAAAATTTGATTGCACATAGAGCATGGAGAACAATTATGTAGCTTCTGAAGGTGCCTCTTTAATTTTGTTTTTTGTGACAGCTTGGCATCACAGATAGGGCAAGAAAATGTTGTACCCTTGTGGACCTCGAGGTGGTATTGCAAGCCCGGTAAACTTCTATAGCCTTTTCCGCAAAGCTGACATACATAAGGCATTTTATTACTGTGGCTTTGTGTAGTGTGGAGATTTATGGATTTTTCATCACAGTAAGTCATAGGACAATATTGACATGGAAAATTAGTCCCAGAAGTTGATTCCTTTCTGTGATAAGAAATAAGTAGTTCTCCAGCTGTAGTTGATGGTTCTCCTACAAATCTTGGTTGATGATCATGACTTATCCTTTTATTAATTTTCAGTTCTGAAAGATAAAATATTCTTTGGTTAATATTACAGACTTTCTTTTAGGCATTAGCTTTAGTTATTACAAGAAGAGACTGCTAATAAACAAACAGAAAATGCCTTCAACTTAAAGTATTTTAAATAATCTTGATTTCAGAGTTATTCCTTGTCATGTTTACACACAATACAGAACATGTTGGTTGAATTCTAGGCCTAGTCGAAATATTCCAGAACACACATTACATTGGGCAACACCATGAACTTTCTTTAGATGAGGCCTCATGGAACTCTTCTGGGTAAGTTTTGTATCACAAACTGGACATTGATAAAATCTTCCCTCATGGGCACGCATGTGATAAGTTAATCCCATGGCACTCTGATATCCTTTACCACACAGATGACATGAAAATGGCATGCACTTGCCATGCTCCTGGGACAAATGAACTTTGAGGTCGTATTTACTGGGAAATGTTACGGCACACTCAGAGCATTCAAGGCATTTTTCAACATGACTTTTAAATGTGGCTTCATCTGGGAGTTTTGAAGAGCAGTTTGGACAAGGAAACCTTTCATGTAATGATCCTGCTAGAGACAAATGGCATGCCTTATTTGTTCGTTTTTTATTCTTTTTTCCAAACACTGATGAACTTGTTGCTCTTTCAACCATCACTGTGGACTGATCCAATGAGGAGTGTCCTGAAAGAAAAGAGAACAACTTTTCTTTCAAAAGAACATTTGAATCCATATTCTTTCAAACTTAGTGTAAATTCACAAAGCCAAGCCTTCTTTATTCATAACAGCAATATGGTTAAAAATATTAATTTTTGCAGTGTAAAACATGTTGATGAAATTCATTATCCGAACGAAATATCTTAGAGCAGCTCATACATTGTGATGCTCTGTGAACAGATTTCAAATGTGTTTTCACAGTTCCTTTCCGAGTAAACTTAGCATCACAGATTGGACAGAGAAAATTTATCCCTTTGTGTACTTCCAAATGGTGCTTTAGACCTGTTGATGTGCTATATGCTTTACCACATAAGGAACAAAGGTAAGGTGATAGCTTGCCATGGTTCTCGTATAAGTGTGATGTAAGAGAGGTAAGATTTGATAATTCTTCTGGGCAGTGTTGACAGAGAAACCTCTTTTCAGGGTCTGAACTGTCGAAGACACTGCTTGTTGATAAAGGATCAGTTTTGTAAGATTCTTTTGGAAAATTTGAAGCTGACACATGATGGGCTGTGAGCTTTCTTTGAAATTTTTCTCCTGAAACGAGAGTATATAGACACTGATTGCCTCTTGGTTTTACATGTCAATATCAATTACAAAAAACTGGTACTTTTAAGATTCTAAAGAAGAAAAAAAAACATGATGCAATGAACTTCAACAAGTCTGATGTACCGGTACCATAGTTTACATAATTATAAAATAATTAATTCACAGTTAAGGTGGACAAGTTAACACATGTTGGTTGTATTCTGACAGTTTCAGTATTAGAGAACAGGAGGTACACTGCATCGACATATGTATGTTTCTTAGATGCTTTTTAATAGTAAATTTTTGAGTAAATTTTGAATCACAAATAGGGCACATAAATGTTTTGCCTTTGTGTGCTTGCATATGATGACTTAAACCCATCTGTGATTGATATCCTTTTCCACACAATGAACATTTAAAAGGCATCGTGTCACCATGTTTTTCAGACATGTGACATCTCAAGTAATATTCATCCAGAAGCAATTTTGAACAGAGCTGACATTGGACCATTCCTTTAGATGTAAAAGCTTTCTTATGGGACTCCTGTGGATACATTTGTGAAGTTTTACATAACACTGCAGAATGCTGATGTAATTGCTTTTGTTGACTTGTAACATCTTGAAATTGAGAATTTACTGAGCCTTCTCTATCTTGTCTGTGAGAATATTTGTCTGAAAATAAATAAGTTTAAGCAATCACTCAAACTTTTTTTTGGTGGATAATAAGTAGATTCTGAATTTTGTGTCAGTTAATTTTAAAATTATGTTCTAAAAAAGCAATATTCAGTAAACTATTATTTTCCACATTGCAAAACATGCTGGTCATACTCCTGTCCGAAAGGAAATATTTGAGCACATGTTAAACACTGATTTCGATGATGAACTCTGCCCAAATGTCTTTTCAAGTTGCACTTTTGTGTAAACTTCCAATGGCACAGAGGACACTGAAATGATTTTCCTTCATGCAAAAGCATGTGAAGATACAGGCCAGTGGAGCTGAGATAGCCTTTACCACACAATGAACAAGAAAATGGCATTATGTTCTGGTGCGTTTCTTCTATGTGCGCTTTTAGAAAGGCAGCACTTGTCAGCTTAGCAGGGCAATGAATGCACTGATAAAATCCTGTTATTGATTGTGAAGTGGAGCAGTGGTCTTGAGAAAATCTGTCAGATTGATAAAGTTGAGAGCGAATACCAGTAGGACTACAGTGGCCTTCATGCCTAGAAATTTTATCTGAAATAAAGAAACAGCTAATCATTCAATAATCTAATTCTAAAGATGTATTTTTTTAACAACATAATAACACAATGTTTTCATGGAAAAGAAAAAAGTTACAATGACAAAATTTCAGTGCAAGTAATCATTTCAATTAACTAGAAAATAACAAACTTTTAAGCACATAGTATACTAGAAAATAGTTATGACTCATGACAATAACAAAAAGCTTCAAAGTAACAGATTTTGGGCCTATTTATTACACAAATTTTAATTATTTTAATTATTTATGACAAAACAAAACATGATGGTTATATTCATCCCCGATAGGAAAAACTGCAGAACAAGTCCCACAAGGGATGCATGAATGAGATCTCTTTATATGTCTTTTCACACTGCTATTTTGGGCAAATTTCAAGTCACAGACAGGGCAAAGGTAGTATTTTCCCTCATGGGTCAGTTTGTGGAGATAAAGGCCACCTGAACTAAGATATCCTTTCCCACATTCGGTGCATATATAAGGCATCACATTATTGTGAAATTCCATTATATGAGCTTTGAGTGCACTTGTAGACGAAACCTGTGCTGGACAGTGCATGCAGGCATGTCGTCCTTCCTTCATTTTATACTGATGACTATATGAATTTCTGTAAGATGCTGGCAGTTCTCCTGAAACAAAAAATATAGTCAAGTAATTTTACATTTGGTCTGTTGCCTAGAATTGCTTGTGAAATAATTGATAAGGAAATCACCTCAAATGAAAGGTAAAGACTTAAGACATGTTTATATTTTTTGTTTGACTTGTTTATTTTCAGGTTGTTCTGCAAACGTAAGCTATGCTCTGCTGATTTTCAAAGCAAGCATCATTAACAAAACTCCAATGTCTTTTTCCTTCAGCATACTGTCCAATTATACATTAAATGAAGTGTTGGGAAATGCATTTCCTCTGCTTTGCTGTGTTCTATTTATATCCAGGTAGCTGTGGCATAATTTAAAATTAGATAAGCTGCTCTTGATATGTTGAAAATTTATCGATGTTCAGCAACTTCAAAAATTTTCAAATATTTAGACATGCATCATTTTTTTTTAAAACTTTCAGTTCAGCATTTTACGTCTCACAACATCACATCATTTTAACCAGACCATATCTTAATTTTAAGTGCATTCACAAGAATAAATTTTAAAACAAATGTATTTTTAAACAAATTTAATTAAACAATATACCGGTACAGTCATATGCAGAGATACCAGATATATATTTGTCTTTCATTTTATTAACCACAATTCAAAATATGCTGCTCAAATTCAGTTCCACTTGACAATACAGCATCACAATTGCGACATTGGAGACTACTATGGATCATCTTTAAATGTCTTTTCATAGTGCCTCTCTGTGTAAATTTTGCACTACACACTGGACATGTATAAGATTTCCCTTGATGTGTTTGCATGTGCAAACCAAGTCCAGTAGAAGAGGCATATCCTTTACTACAGATTTTACAAGTAAATGGCATTGGCTGATTCGGCTGTTGTAAGTTAACAGCATTCTGGAAAGCACCATAAAATTGAAATTCCTTTGTCGCAAGAGCGTAATGGCCTAAAATAGAGTCAGCACTCTGAGTGGAGCCATTAGGAGATGGATATGGGTAATTAGATTCAGTTAAACGAACTTTGAGCCCTGAGCCACTACTTGTCATTTTGGCCCTGACAGTGGCTTTACCACCTAACCTCATTTGATGTCTAACCACTCTTTCTGAAAAAAAAAAAACAAACAAGGATTTTTAATTGTTAATAATTCACAATTTTGTTTTATTTCTTGTTTAACAATTTAGGGAATTTCCTAAAACATCAGGTTATTACATTTCAGGGAGTTTGTTACACAATTATTAGGTAGCAGAGGCATATGTAAAAATAATTATCGACCACAAGTAAGAACATGTTGTTGATATTCCTGCGAGTCTAGTTTAAAAATGTTTCGACATGTCAGACACTGTGTTGTTTTATGCACCATCCTCAAATGTCTTTTCATGGTACTATTTTGTGTAAATTTGGAGTCACAAACAGGACAGAGAAAAGATTTTCCCTCATGAACTTGCAAATGAAGGGAGAGGCCAGAAAAACTTGCATAGCCTTTCCCACACAGTGAGCAAGGGAAAGGCATCTCATTTCCATGATATTGTGACATATGTGCTTTAAAGCTTCCATTATCCAAAAATGTCTCTTGGCAAACAGGACAACAAATAATTGATGGCAAAGATAAGTTTGCTTCTACTAAATTCGAAATGAGCCTTGTTGATTCCATATTGTTAAATGGGACTGCAGTGCCCCTAGAACTTCCAGGAAAATTAATGGGTCTTATATTATCTCCACCTCTCCATCTTGAAGTTTTGTGAGACCTTTCTGAAACAAAAAAAATAATTCAAGATTCACTTTATAAACCCAAGTCATTTTTTCATTACACGCTCACTTCTTTAAAACTTGAATGTGCCACAACTCAACAGTTGTAAATGAAATCCAAAAGATTTATACAGTCCAAAAGATACATCAGAGCATTCATAGTACATAAACCATAACAGGACCTTAATCTCTTGGTTAGAACGGGTAAAAAGCTTTATTTGGGGTTGTCAGTCATTTTTGTTAAAACACATTTAAGAAACCACTATTTTAAAAATAATGCTGTTAAGCAAAAGTAAAAGAAACAGAATGGTACAGTAATTTTTATCTAGCTAAATTGAAAGTGAATGTTGCTCCCAAATTTATTTTTACTGAAAAAACAATATAGTGAACAATATAAGTTTTTTTCAAGGTTTATCACTGCCCCGGTGTTAGTTGCACAAGGGGGTGTCAATTTGACTCAATTTGGTTACAGTTTTCTAAAATTAACTTTTATTAATGAGTACATATTTTCATAAATTATCATTCTAAATAACTAAAAAAAAAAATAAAAAAATAAAGACTGACACATTGTACATGGAAACAAGCAATTAATTATGCAAAATTTAATTTATCAAAACATAAAGGTTATAACAAATTTTTAAGTTGATAACTTGCAAATCATAAAAGGTTTTATGACAATGATAAAGATGTGTCTAGACTACTAACATCCTTTTGAACAGCTTTGCAACATAGATGGATATGCTGATTGTATTCTGTTCCCAGTCTCAAAATAAGCTTACAATAAATACAAGGAATAAGGCCATGTGACCGTATTAAATGTCTTTTCAGAGTGCTACTTTGAGTAAATTTAGAATCGCAAACTGGACACATAATCATTTTTCCTTTGTGGACCCGAATATGGCGATAGAGACCTGATGCACTATAGTAACCTTTTCCACATAATGAACACGTGTAAGGCATATTTTGCCCATGATACTGAGAGAGATGCGCCTTAAGGGCTGAATTTTCTAGGAATGTTTCTGAGCAGTGAGGACATTGTAAAATATTAGGCAAATCTAAAGAATCAGAACAAGGAAATGTTTCATATGTTGATGATTCATCTCCTGAGTGAGGATAAAGTGTTCTTGAAGAAGTGGCTCTCATACTCCCTGGATGATTATTTTGGGTCGTTGTATACTTTGCTCCTGAAACAGAATAAACACTGTGTCATTCTCACACTTGATCCGTGTAAAAAGTTAGTGGGAACCCAATCAGTGAAATTAAGCTTTACCACTGTAAATGCATTTAACCTGTACTCTTGATAAAGCACACAAGATAAAACAAAACTCAAAAGGGTTAAAATTTTAACAGTATAAGACAAAGATCACAAATATTTGAAAGAAAAGGCCCATTACAAATTTTCAACCACTAGTTTATGAACACCAATCAAATGCATTTTCAGATGATGTTTCATAACAAATTTGGAACTGCACACATGACATTCAAATTTTCTCTCTTCATGAGCTCTTTTGTGGTGATAGTGAGCTGACTTAGAAAAGAATCCTTTGCCACAGATGGAGCAACTGAGAGGAAGCTTATCACCATGGTAATGAGATAAGTGTTGCTTGTACAAAGCCAATGTATTATGTTGTGTCTTACAGAATGAGCACACATAAAAGTTTGAGTAATCTGTTGATGTTTCATGAGAGCTCAGTTTGCCTGCGTAAGCCATAAATCTTGCTTGATGACCAGGACTGGTTTGCAAATTGTCATGATGAAAATAACTTTTAGCATCTGGGTTGATCATCTCTGAAATGAAGAAAAGTTACTTCAGTAAGTTGGAAACAGCTTCACTGTTCCACACAGCTCCATTAGAGACATTCTTATTTTTTTTTTTTTAACATAAAAAAAAAAAAATCTCTGCAGGAAAAGGAAACATATTTTTTTAATCATCTATGATGAGCCATTCAAAAATTAGCTCCATTAGAGTCATTTTTATTTTTTTTTTTTTAACATAAAAAAAAAAAAATCTCTGCAGGATAAGGAAACATATTTTTGTAATCATCTATGATGAGCCATTCAAAAATTCAGAGTGGAACTTTTTTACATGATCTTTCATATGATGCTTGTGCTTGAACTTTGCTCCACAAAAATCACAAGGGAATAGCCAGCCCAAGTGAGTACGTTTATGATGACGAAGTCCAGAATAGCTTATAAATCCTTTGCCACAAAGTGCACAGCTAAATGGTAAACGCTCACTGTGGTTGTATGACATATGCTGTTTCAAAAGAAAAGGTGTTGAGAGTACAAGTCCACAAAAGGTGCAAGTGCTATTCTCTAACAAATTACTATTGGGAAATATCCCATCTTGACTTGGTAATGAATCATGAGATATTCTGGATGTTGATGTGCGAGGTCTGTCAAACACATGCTTTAAACCTGCACCTGAAAAAAAAGTAAGGTTTGGAAATTCACAATGTAATACCTTTAGCACTAAAGGATGAGAAATGGCTGATGACAACATGACATGATCCAGAATAGATTCTGTACTAGCTCAAAAAAGGTTGTTTTTAAAAATGCAAATAAGCAATACACATCGTTAGAAAGTAAGTTTGGTTTCAGAATATCTCAAAACCATTGCTTGTAAGTTAGAACTTTTTTCCACAATTTAAAAGATGCTGGTTTAGCTCCTCCTGGATAGTAAAAGTAGATGAGCAATAGAGACACGGAAAAAGTTTGTGGACAACTTTCAAATGTTTAACAAGATATTGCTTTCGTTTTAATTGTAAATCACAGAACATGCAGGAAAAGGAGGCAGCTCCATGATCTTTTATGTGCCTTTGGAGACCAGATTGAGTATAAAAGCCTCTAGAGCAGAGTGAACAGGAAAAAGGCAACTGATCGCTATGATTTGTTGACATGTGCCTTTGCAAAAGTGTACGAGTATGTGTTGTTATCAAACAGTAAGGACACTTGTTTGGTTCTTGGTCAGTGTCCCAGTCCTGTGTTAAGTTTATGTCGTTTGATGCACTAGGGCTATAGTAATTGCTTGAATGATCACTCCCTAAGATACTGCTATAGTCAGAGGGTATATGAAGTTCATTTCCTGAACATGATACAGCCATATTTTGTATCTTTCCTCTGTTTCCAGTCTTGTTGATGCCTGAAAAAAAGAAAACCAAATGTTTTCTGTCAGTTAAGTTGCAGTTTCTACACTGCAAAGCAGAGCCACGAATGCGGTTAAAGATTTTTTAATTAATGAAATAAACACTGTCAAAATCAGAATATCAATCAATGAATACTTTGAATTAACACATCCATTTTTATCAACTTTGTAAAATGAATAGGGATTCCTTTCTCATTGTGAAAGTTTTCTATCTGTTACATCTGTTCCACAGCGTAAAAGGTGTAAATTATATTCTGGTCCAGCTGGTAATGTTGCTGTACAATTGGGACACTCTTGTAGCCTATGAACACCCAATACATGGCGCTTTAAATTGTGTTTGTGTTGAAATCTGGCATCACATACAGCACAGACAAACTGCCGACCATTATGTGCCTCTATATGATGTCGCAATCCAGTCAATGAGAAAAATCCTTTCTGACACATTGAACAAGTAAAAGGTAAAGCATTTTTCTCTCTATGACATTCATTCATATGTTTTTGATACATCCCCCGAGTGTCAAGTTTGCATTCACAAAAAGAGCATTGAACAGAGGATTCAGAACCTCTAAAAGTATCCGTACTGACAAAATTTGCTGCACTGTCATGGTGTGACCCAAAATAGTTTGCTTGGGAATTCACAAATGAGTTATTAGGCCCAAGCTGATCAAATGTATTCTTAAAGTGTTGGGGAGGAGCTTGACTTGTGAAGGAAGATCTTCTTCCTGAAACAGAGAAAGTGATTATATGTTCGTTTATTGCTCACAATGCTAGAAGGCATTGCAATTATTCTGCTCATGTTATCATACACAAACATACAAGGATATATGAAATACTGGAATTAGACTTCTACAATATAACAGTTAAATAACAATGCAAAACAAAGAAAAAAATTTAGAAAATACTCTTACAGTTTTGAAACTATTTATTCATTAGCATATCCTGACAAGATTTAAATATTTATAGTTACATCAGCCTTTAAAAAGACACTTCTATTTACAAAAAGCTTTACATACATTTTTAAATACTTTTACATTTACAAAATATAACATGATTTAAAATGCTTAATCATAAAATTATCTGTACTTAAAAATTGTTCTAAAAGTTGCTTGATTGAAACCACTTTCTAAAGTAAATTATTGTTAAATTTCTCTTAAATAAATTGTGACAAGAATTATGAGTCTAACATTAGGTTCCTTCACTTTTAGTAAAATTGTGCCGTGTTCCAATGTTTGAAACTAAAAATATGATTCTGTGAAAAAAAATGTTCTTTAAAGCATGTAGGGTGAAAGGGGGATATCAAACTAAATTTATGACTAATTAAATGCCTTGTGAAATTAAAAATGACAAAGAGTAGCAACTAGTTCAAAATAAAATTTGCAAAGGTTATAATAAATATCATCGTTAATAAAAATCAATATTTACTTTTAAACTTAATTAACACGTTTTGGAGAAGAAGACCCATGCTCTTTCATTAAAATATCCAATAACAAATAATTACTTGGACTTGTTTATTAATTTTAGTACATGAAAATTATGACAATCAATGAAATAAAATATTTTATCACAATAATGAAGAAAAGTGTCAAAGAATTTTTTTTATAACTTATCAATATTATAACATCAGTTAAAAATTAAAAAACAAGTAGACATTAGCTATTTAAATAAACTATGAATGAATGCCACTTTCTTTAGATATATCACAACCCAAAATATGATTGTTAAAATCTTCTCCCTTCTTAAATAGGGCCATGCAATACATGCATTTTTTTAATCCATGAGTGCTCTCCAAATGTCGTCCAATATTTTTCTTATGTTTGAATTTCACATCACAAATGTAACATGAGTAAATGGTTGTGTCATGTACTGAACTGTGTTGCCGTAATCTCTCCTTAGTTGCAAATCCTTTGAAGCAAATGTTACAAGCAAAAGGATCAATACCACTTAAGAGGCCACCTGGAGATTCAATAGCATGAACTTCATTAAAGTGGTATTGGTAAGTAATACCAAAAGGAAGTGCAACTCTGCATATAGCACAAATGTCCACTGAGTTGCGCAGGGACTGTCCAGATTCACCACTAAAAGGGATTTGAGTGAATAACTCTGGGTTCTGTGAATGATGGCTAAGACCATGAAGTATTTGTGATGTGGAGTTGAATGGGCGTCGTTTTTGTAGATGCTTTCTTTGATGATCACTACCATTAACACCTGCAACAAACAAAATGCTTGAATTTGAAATCTGTCATAATAACCTATTTCAAAATTGTTACACACTCAAGCATTAATTTGATATTAGGTAAAACTGTGTGAAGATAAAAAGACCATTTATGAACTGGCTTCACTAAATAATTTATCAATCTGTCTTGTTGCTTCTGTTACGGACACTCTCCTGTACAAATGAGAACATGAGCTTCAAAATCATATCTGCTTACATAATTCTTGCATTGTCTACACTCTTTCATGTTATGATTAATTTCAATATGTCTCTTCAAATTTCTGCTGTACTTAAATGTGTGGCCACAGAAAGAACACTCTGATTTGACGAAATGACTTTCCATATGGTGTTTTCGTCCAGAATAGGAGAAAAAGCCCTTGCCACACTCTGTACAATTATATGGGTATGTAGCTTGTAGTCCATGATGATCGTCTTTCATGTGTCGGTTTAAAATCATTTTTGTATCAAACTGTTTAAAGCAATACTGACATCCAAATTTTAGGAATGCTGATTGATCAGTGTCTGGTGTATTCATAGAGTCAAAGTTTGACAATCTCATTTCTGGTTGAATCTGAGATTCTGCACCAGAATAAGATGTCATATCAGATTTGTTAGAGACAAACATATGACTACGGTTTGGATGAATTTCTTCTGTGACTGAAGGATGCTGAATCTGTCTTCTTCTCATTTGACTGCAATACTCTTCTGAAACAAAAAGAATGAAAGTGGGCATAATATCCTTAAAGATTCACCACGAAGTACGATTTTTTTTTTACCGGAGAGAAAAGGGTTTATTGTACACAAATCAGCATTTACGGTTATAAATGCACAGAGTGAATTTAAACAAATAAAATGTACAACTTTATGTATTTGTACAGTCATGCGCATAGTTTCCTTGAATGTTATAGTTGACACCACAGTATCGACAATGTTTTGTTCCATGCTGAGTTTCTATATGACGATTCAAGTTCCTCTTAAATGTAAATTTAGAGCTGCACCAGGAGCAATGAAACATCTGTCCTGTATGCTGTACTTCATGCTGATGCAATCCAACTTTTGAGAAAAAACCCTTATGACAATGAGAACAAATATATGGCAAACTCTTCGACTCTCTATGAAGGCTATTCATATGCCTCTGGTAATAAAGTCTATTATCAAAAACAGTATTGCAAACATTGCATTCAAAAGATGATTGATCAGATGGAAGAGTTAAATGATCCAATGATGAGGAAGATGGATAAGACTCATCTAAGGCCAGCCCCTGGGAAAACCTTGATTTGAGAGACAAATTATGTCTCGAGGTCCGACCCATGAATGGAACAGACCCTGTTGCTCCAGTAGAACGCTGTTGATTGACAAATTGCTCTGAAATAAAGTTTTGAAAACAATAGTTTTGAAAAAGCTTTAGCTATGTGAATTTGCACAGCAAGACATTCATAAATGAATATTAATTTTACTACTTTTCACAGGTCTTCCTTTTCTTAAGACTTTTACTATTGTAAATAGTTTTAATTTTTAATACATTGAAAGAAAAAGACCCAATTTTGTGTGTGTGTGTAAATTATGCTTCTGTATGATAGACACCAAAATATTTCTTTTAAAGAAAAAACACAGCATAATTTTATGATAATATTCCATGTGTTAGCTTTTCATGTGCACGCAATGATGTTTTATGAGCATATTTAGTTCCACAGATAAGACATTCAAAGTTCATAGGATTTCCATGCATAGCCATGTGTCCTTCCAAATGTACTCTGCGCTGAAAGCCTTTTCCACATATTTCACAATATACTTCATATAATCCCATATGCTTGAACTTCATGTGGTTGCAAAGTGATGAGTATGTTAAATACTTGTGATAACAGATGGGACAAATATAACGCTGTATTGTTTGATCAAAAGGACACTCTGCTTTTGAAGGGATCTGGACACTTGTCCCAGTAAAGGAATGTGAAGAATTTGAAGAGGACGGCATGTCTTTTAATTGATGTTGAGGCATGAAAGTAAAAGGTTTCTTTTTATGATTGCCAAAACGATGTGAGCCAACAAGCTTAGAAGAAGCAAATGAGTCTTGTGAAATATCTGAAATAAGAAAATTATAGATACACCCAATTGCCAACTTGAAGTGACAACATATCACAATCAAATAATACTAATAAAAGGACACAAAACAGGCTCTAAAAGGTCAAGTTCATGAAATAAGCCTGAATGCTGAAACCAATTAGTTTCTACAACAAAAAATTACAATAAACTATGTTCATATCATCCCACAGATAACTTAAAAAACATGTTAAACATGTATAGAGTCAAACAGCTGTAAATAAGATGAGTAAGCAACACTATGTTCATGTTACATGTTAGACATTTTACAAAAATATTTTTAATATATTTACTCACACAACACAAATTTGAAATAGTTATTTTTAATGATATGTATAAAAGGATAAAGATTAGTGCATGGAAAATAATGCATACAAAATTAATAATGCAAAATAACACGATGTAAATAAAATGATGATAAAAAAATTATTAAAACAAATCAAGTTTCAAATAGAAGAGATCATCCAAATCAAGTACAAGTTTAACATTAAATCTGATGCTGGTTCAGCAGGTTTGATTACACACAAAATAATGCATGTCATGTTTTTATTCTATAAATGCATACTTAATACAATGATACAATCCTCATAAAACCAAAAATTGAAATATACTTAATTAATTTTCTCTAAAGGTATATAAACACATTTATATTAAAAACAAGAATGGCTAGAAAAGTGCATACAAAAAAATTTAGTTAGGATAATTGGGTTTGAGCAATGCTTGTAAAATGAGGAAAGAATATGTTGCATATAACTAATAACTGATAGGCTTGATTGCAAAAGTATAAGGGTCTAAAAGACAACATATCAATTTTCAATGTATAGTACAATGATGTAAATAACAGTTTTTTAAAGATAAGGAGGGCACTTAAAAATTTTTTAGCATGTTTATACGATTTGTTTTTAAAATTATATCAATGAAACCAGAACATCCTTTCCTGTTTTATTAAAATTATCCCAATTCAGTATGTTCATTGTGCATCTCATGATAAACAGATAACATTACATAAGGAGATTTATGCATAATCAGAAATTCAGTTGCAAGTTTTTTTCTGAAGCAACTAATCATTTAACAGGAAACATGATTTTTGCTTATTATTATTAGTGTGGTTTTTATTTTTCCATCATGTCCTAGAAATATGAAAAGAAAGTGAGTGGAGGGGTGTCAGATGTAGTTCTGGCAAGACATTTTAAAAACAAATTCCCCTTTGAGAAGTATAGTTTGTATAGTTCTCTGTAAGTAATACTGGCAATTTGAATAACCCACTGTAGCTGGGGTGTCTACAATGAGGAGGGGGCAGAAATTGCCTCCAATCCCATACCCTTGTTCATAACAAAGTCAAACCATTAGAAGTCCACAATGAAATTTCAGATGTAAACCTAATAATATCCACTCCATTTAGGGATGGTCTAGATTTCCAGAAAGTTTGATAATTTCAAAGACTAGATGTCAGCCAATTTTTATTGGACAACTTTTAAATTTTAACTCCATCATATATTTGAATGATCTTTTTAATGATTTGAACTCTTTAATTTATTTGAATGAGAATGATATTGTTAGGTCCCCATGTCTTAGGCACAACGAACATGGCACCTAATGAAAGTTAAAAATAGAAAAATAATTATAGTATTTTGTTTTAGATTTTATCACATTGAAAAGTAATTAAGTTGACGAGTCATTTTTGCATGTTTCGAGAAGGGTATTAAATCTAGTATTTTCCTGTAAGTTCTATATTTTTCCACAGGTATATAGTAGGATCTAAAAGCTTAAATTTAGTTCTATAGATTTCTACAACCTTTTAGGAATTTTCTCAGTATTGCTGAGTTACCTTTTAACGTTTCTCAGTTTCTAGATTATATTAGAAGCTTTGATTTATTTCTAAAACCATTTTAAAATTATAAATATCTTCATACTTTCTTTATGTTCCATAACTTTCAATAGTTTCGCTTAACTTAATGGAATAAATTAAATATACCTTTAAAGATTATTGCTAGTTCGAAATTAATTAAACCTTATAATGAATGACCTACACAATAAACAACGAAAATTAGGGTATAGATTACAGTATAAGCTTGTAAGTGTATATATGGACCTTTGCCAAAGGTGGCCCCTATCTTAGGGATAACTTTATATGTATTTCATCAAACAAAATCCTACAGGGGAATGAGATCAAAAGGGGAATGAGATCAAAAGCGAGAATGGGATCCCGCCAGATAACAGTATCCATAGGGTTAATAGGATATAACATGGGAACGGGATCCACCCGGTTAACAAGATCCTGACAGGTAACAGATCCAGCCCAGGAATCTCAAGGTATGGGCGCCCATTAGAAAATGGGATCCAGATCATATTCGACTGGGTATAAAAACAGAACGGGATCTCACTGGGGAAGGGGATCCTTTTTTATGTAGAAATATAACATTTTAATTTTTTTCTTTGTCCTGAGTTTTTTTACATACCCCTTAATTTTTATGTTAGCTAAAAGGCTGTAGAGGATTTTTTTTTATTTTGAGAATGCAATCCCAGGAAACGCCGGGTATATTGGCTAGTATATAATAAATATAAAAGGGAGATATATCTTGTTTTTAATTTTTTAAATGGACCTGATAAATTTGTTATAAGGTATTCCAGGAATTTTATGCTATGTGCAATATTGAAACATTAAAACTAAAATGTACAATTTATAATAGGGAACAACTAGAAATCACATCGGAAATCTGATAGGGCTGAATATCACTTTTTTCTTCTCCTCTGCAAATACTACTATTACTCCGTTGCAGATCCAAATTTTATTTGAATGTTAAAGTTTTAGAGATATTCAATAAATCTGCATGTTTAAATAGGCGGATTGCAGTTCATTTTCCACCAAAACCCAGAAAGAAAAAAAAAACGTCAGCTACTTATCACTGACTTTATATCCACATGATCTAACATTAGCTACACACAAATTCTCACATGTACATCCCAAATGGATTATTCACTTTTAAAATGAAAACGGCTTGTCTAAAGCCCCACTGATGTCAAGTGTTGTTTTTTTTTCCAATCAATGGCAATTTAAAAAAAAGAAAGAATTCAGATGTTGATGTTAACAGCAATTTAGATGTAATCCTACATAATTATTCGGTTAATTTTGCTAGCTGTAATATTAGTAATATAGATTCCTGTATTTAAATGAATGAAGTTTACGAAGTAAAATAAATATCATCCTACATGGCATAGTTATTATGCCTTTACAGTCTTATAAAATTATTTTTCATTGTACAGTTATGGGGATATTTTTTTTTTATTTATTTTTTTATTATTCTATTTCTATGCATTAGGCGTACATAAAGTGTTAATAGAAGTGGTAAAGAAATTTTTCATTACAGGTAACAATATATTATTATAAAATTATAGGGCTACTAATTACTAATGTCTATGTATCCTTCGACGATCGAGTGAGCACTGTTATCTGCGCATAACACCAGTAATGCTAAAAGCACTCCTTTGAAGAGATGTTACCGTAGATGTATTGGTATGACCATATATTTATTGTATATTGCTGGTATTATATAATTAGACTAACATTAGGGGTGTGCCGGATCCGTTTTTTCCAACCGGATCCGGATTTTCTTATGCGAAATCCGCCGGATCCGGATTCCGGAATAATCCGGATTCCGGATTTTGGTACTATTGGTAGATACTTCGGTAAGTCAAGGTGGACTACTACTTTTTGTGTATGGGAATTCGCAATCGGCGCCAAAAAATCAGAGTTTTTAATTTTCCGATGTGTGTGTCTATTTATTATTAAATTAGTACTTTCGATATATATTTGAGTTCCGTTCCATTTGGATAAGTGTCTTACGAGAGACGCCATGTTTCTACGCGTTCGCAGCAGGTCATGCAGCTCGCTCAACCTAATTTCGCCATGGGGTTGGCCACGCCCCCCTTTTTAATGGCGGAAGTTGACGATACTTAGGAAATATTAATTTATTATCACTATTTACATCAAAATAATTGATAACTTGTGTTTCAGAATGCATTTAAAGACATTTAAACTGGAATGTTTTAATTTGAGCTTTAACAACCCGGTAGAATCCATATTATAAATGATCAGAATTTACCGTGTGCAACACGTTGTCATTGGCAACCATTCACAGCCACTTGCATAACTGTATCGTAGTACTACCTCAGAGTTTCATTCATAAGAGTTTGCCGTGTGCAAAAACTATTAAACCATTGGTCAGGGAAAGCTTTAATTAATTATTCATGTGCCAAAGTTGAAAGTTTAAACTAAGTCTAAACAGTATTTTAGTGATAAGGCAGGGAATGCGTTGCCTTATATAAACTATATAGTCATTGCGCATGACGGGATTGGCGGAATGAGATCACAGAATGTGGAGATGCAGTCCATGTTAAAAAATGACAAACCAAGTCGTACTTTAAAAATTCATAACTTTCAAACTACAACAGCTAAAAATATGATTTTGGTGTTATAATTCTTTAAAAAATTACATCTTTTCAACTATGCCATTGGTTTATTTTTACAAAAAGTTTAAATTTTCTTATCAAAGTCCATACACTATTGGCCACTATTAGCGGTGCTGACTCTAGCCTCTGGTATGTTCGGAATATTAAACATTAAACAAGCTCAACGTTCGAAACAATCGATTAATGTATCGTGATCGTGTGGAATTCGGGAAAGAGAATTACTTTTATTTCAGATTATGATCCGGTGAGTCACAAAATCTGACAAATTCCGAAATCCGGTATATTCCGGATACATGTAAATCCGGCGGAACCGGATTTCACCGGATAGTGCAAAATCCGGCGGAACCGGATTCCGGACCGGATTCCGGCACACCCCTAACTAACATATAGCATCATACGGAGACATGGAATTATACGTGAAACGCATTACATGCTGTAAGTGTCATCATGAATAATATATAAATAATACATTCATATCCAGATTAGGTAAATAGTACCCATTGAGAATGTCTACCCGGTTGTTCCCAAATTTATTTAGCGATTGGGATGGTTGAAACGGCTGGTTGTCATTCCTCAAAATCCCTAACTAGATTCAAGCAACTCAAGAAAATTATTAATTGATAATATTAAATTTCAAGGTTAAAAGTAACATCGAATGAATAATTTAATTTAAAACTGACCAGTAACTAGTCATTCAAAATAGTTTACTTCACTAAAAAAATATATATCAAAGAACAGGTATGGTCTCAACAAAGAACATAACATACATGAGACCATACCCTTGTTCAATGCCTGCGGGTGATAAGGATATATTTTTCAGCACAAGCTGTGAAGCAGCAAGTTCTAACAATCAAATTAAATTAGAGAATCCGCAATATTTATAACTTATAGTGATACTGATATGGCAATAAAACAATTTTTAAATTTTTAATGTTTTGCTTGCCTAAAAAATTGTTTTTGCCAAATTGAAAAAAGGTAAGTCATTTATTGCTAATTTTTTTTTTTTAAATTAGTCTATGTAGCAATTTAAAAACTATCAAACTGTGTCCAAACATGGTAATTTCTCACATCAAACTTTTCAACCACAAACCACTTTTTTGTTCCAATTTAAAAAACTAAAAGTTGAATGCAGTTTCACTGATTTTAAATACCTAATCAAAACAAACAAATACTTCAGAGTTATTCCCTTGACTCAAGTACGTACAAAATAATAAAATCTGAGTTGCCTTTCCAAACTTAATTTTTTAAAGACTTAATTTATTAAAGCTTAACACATGTTAACAGTTGTAAATTTGAACAGGGAAAACGTTGTAGCAGCAGATGCACAATGAAGCACTGAATTCTTGTAAAATAACCCCAGAAACCAATTAAACAAAGACGTGGCACTATTACTTAAAGATTTGTAATGCCCTCATTTGTTCTTACCTGTGATTCCAAAACATTACTAAATTTGAAGTCTGTTCATTTCCAAAATAATTTTAAAATTTTAAAGAGGAACAGTAATCTTTAAAGTAATCAATGCCACGATATTAAGAAGAAAAAAAAAAGAAATTAACTTACGAGATTCTGCAAACATAGCTTGTACGTCTTCATCTTCATCATCAATTTCAATTACTTCAAATTGACCAGCATCACTAGAGCCCTCTCCTGGATCTGAATAACCTGACTGATCATATGCTCCTTCTTCACCGGCTTCATCATATTCTGGCACTTCTGAGCCAGAAGCAATGTTTTCTACGGGTGCATCCTCTGATAAAGCACTGTCATCAACAGGACTTGTACTTGACACTCTCTGTTTCACTGAAGCAGAAGCTTCTGATGACTTGGAAAGTGAAGAACTTTGTTTTTCTGCTGTTGGACTATTAACATCAGAGGAGCCTTCTTCTAACTGATGGTCTGCAGATGTTGATGGCCGGAGAAATGTTCCTTTAAATTCTTTGTTAGTTGTATCTGAAGGTTCATCTGATGAAGGAGGTTCATTATCACCTAACATTGACGCATCAGGATCTCTTTTAATAGACGATAAATCCTGATTCTGCTCTAATTGATCTTGATCATTTGGAAACTCTGATTTATTGTCACTATCTAAAATCTCTTTCTTAATGTTTATTTGCCCATCATCACTAGTTAATTCAGTACTCTGATTCAGTGGGGATTTAAAGTTGCCATCAACTGAGGGGAGCGGTGAAAAAGGTAAACCTGCAGTGGAAGATGAAGAGGATTCATGAGCAGAAGGGTATTGATGTCTAGCACCTCTAAGCTTTTTCGGAGACCTCCAGTCTCTTTCCATTCCAACTGAGCGTTTTTGGGAACCTCTTAAAACATATGACTGAGAAAATGAAGTTGAACCATGAAATGAGCCTCTAAAACGACTTGGATATTGATTCTGTGATCCTGTGTCTGAAACGGGTGAACAGGCACCATCACGAGTCTGTTTAGGTTGATCCTTTTTTGCAAGAAAGCTGTTGCTCACAAATGTCATAGAATTTGTTGTACTTTTTAGTACCTTTTCATTAAGGACATAGTCTACTTTGCTACCACTATCAATATTGACATTGATGTACCCTACAATTTCGATGCCAGAATCAAATTCCATACACCCATGGCATAAGGCCTGAAGTGACTTGCTGAGGCTAGAAATAAACCTGTTGGCAACTGCCACATCCATATGCTGAAGCTCAGGCATTTTCCAAATGACTAATGATGAGAAATCTATTGAGAAAAGAATTTGAATAATGTTAATTGAAGCAATAAAAGAACATTGGTCATTACAATTAATGTGTAAAAAAAAAAAAAAGTAATGAATGCTTAATTTCAATCTAAGTAAGTTTGAAATAAAGTTATTTTTCAAATTTATCAGAGTAGGTACGTTTGAATTTTCAAAACAGCTAGTAAATTTAGGTAAATATTGGAATGTAATAAAAAAAAATCTCTTAACATTTTATTACTGTATTTTTACCATTTCATTACAAATTAACAATATTGCAGCTTAAATTACAGCATTTCTTCTTTAGCTTCAGGGCTATGAACAGGAAATTTAACAATTTGAAGACCTGTTCACCCCAGGTTAGTTTTAGAGTATTTTCAGCTCTAAAAAATTTAGTTTCAAGCTCAAAAGATTAGTTTATTTGGTCAATTAGTGGGGGTGGGGGTTTTCAATCAAAATGCAACGTATTATGTCTGAAAATCAATAGTTTTTTGGGGATATAATCATAAGTTTGGTCTCATAAGGACGAGAAAGGGTCTAAGGCAGTGGTCGGCAAACTTATTAGTCACAAGAGCCAAAAATCAGCAGCAGGACGAATACAAAATTTTTGAGAGTCAATTTTCTTTTTTAAGAACCTGTCTAGAACCATGTTTTCGGCCTCAAAACCATTTTTTGGCCAAACGGCTGAGCAACACTCATGTCGCTAAAGAGCCGCAAGGCAAGCCGCCATTTGCCGACCAATGGTCTAGGGCAACTCAAAAGGACTGGTACAGACTTGAAGTTAGTGTTGGTCAAGCTCAATGCTGGCAATGGGCTGGATTTAAGGGGATCCACAGGTCACAAAATAGTCGAAATTTGACAAAAATATTGATTCTTGAAAACTTGGATTTTCTGTTACATTAATGTCTCTATTATCATTTGGTAAAATTAAAATTATAAAATTATATAATTTTAACATAATAATTGTGATTTGAAGGGGTGAGGGGTCTATGTTTTTGTTTACAACTGACGCCAAATTAGCAGTTTTTAACACTCGTTTGCGCCGAAACTCTGTTCGATTTTATCATATTTGGTATCGTTGGAAAGCTAAACATCACGCAAAGAATGCCATTCCGATGACTCATTTATCTAAAAATAACCATTCACGTAAATATGCTGTGTATCACGTGTACACAAAGGTAGATGATTGGCTAATTCGTAGTTAGAAACAATTCTTTGCATTTTCATTGGTCCATGTCCTCCATTTTCCTTTGCGGAAGCGTGACCTTTTGATATTTTCCACTTCGTTACGTGCTCCAACTCCACTGTTCCTCAAATGTGAAAAGCAATATGGGCCACATTTTATCACTGTATTTCCACAGACGAGAAACCTCTTCACAGTGACTGTCCTACTGGTGCAGCTTCCTGGTGCTTCTACCAGAGAGCTGCATCAAAAGGTCTCCCACTTGGGACGCATGAGAAGATGCTCTCAACTTATCTATGTCCTTTAGTTGCAGAGCACATCAAACCGGTATTTGAAAAGATGACGCAGGACGACTTGTTGCAGCGGTGTGTTGAGGGCCAGACGCAGAATGTTAATGAATCAATCCATTATGTGATTTGGAGTCGTTGTCCTAAGCACCTTTTTATTGGTAGGCAGGGGCTGGAAATTGCAGTATGTATTGGTGTTGGGGAGTTCAACATGGGATCGAAGGCCTCACAAGATTTTTTTACCCTAATAAATTTGAAGGCAGGTATTCAAACGTACCTTCTTGGTAAAAAAAAAAAGGAACAGTACTTGTATCTGTAAAGCCCAGAAGTCCTTGGAAAATAATGAAACATTGAGAAGGAGGGTTAGAAAAATAGCGGGGGGGGGGGGGGGGGGGGGGGGGGGGGGGGGGGGGGGGGGGGCGCGCAGTATATACCAGGAGGGGCTGATTTTTTATGTTACTGTATTTTTATAAATTTAAAATGTATATAATCCAATTTTTATTGATTGTGTACCATATTTTGAATTTAAGTCATAATAATGTTGTAATAATGTTTTTGATATGCATATTAAGATCATCTTTTTATAAGGTTTTTTTTTTCCAGGGTGGGTGTTGCTTATTAGTCACTGAAAATTTATTTTCCATAACTTTACATCAATTTTTTGCTTATTAATAGGGGTGTGCCGGATCCGTTTTTTCCAACCGGATCCGGATTTTCTTATGCGAAATCCGCCGGATCCGGATACCGGTTTCTCCCGGATTCCGGATTTTGGTACTATTGGTAGATACTTCGGTATGTCAAGGTGGACTACTACTTTTTGTGTATGGGAATTCGCAATCGGCGCCAAAAAATCAGAGTTTTTAATTTTCCGATGTGTGTGTCTATTTATTATTAAATTTGTACTTTCGATATATATTTGAGTTCCGTTCCATTTGGATAAGTGTCTTACGAGAGACGCCATGTTTCTACGCGTTCGCAGCAGGTTATGCAGCTCGCTCAACCTAATTTCGCCATGGGGTTGGCCACGCCCCCCTTTTTAATGGCGGAAGTTGACGATACTTAGGAAATATTAATTTATTATCACTATTTACATCAAAATAATTGATAACTTGTGTTTCAGAATGCATTTAAAGACATTTAAACTGGAATGTTTTAATTTGAGCTTTAACAACCCGGTAGAATCCATATTATAAATGATCAGAATTTACCGTGTGCAACACGTTGTCATTGGCAACCATTCACAGCCACTTGCATAACTGTATCGTAGTACTACCTCAGAGTTTCATTCATAAGAGTTTGCCGTGTGCAAAAACTATTAAACCATTGGTCAGGGAAAGCTTTAATTAATTATTCATGTGCCAAAGTTGAAAGTTTAAACTAAGTCTAAACAGTATTTTAGTGATAAGGCAGGGAATGCGTTGCCTTATATAAACTATATAGTCATTGCGCATGACGGGATTGGTGGAATGAGATCACAGAATGTGGAGATGCAGTCCATGTTAAAAAATGACAAACCAAGTCGTACTTTAAAAATTCATAACTTTAAAACTACAACAGCTAAAAATATGATTTTGGTGTTATAATTCTTTAAAAAATTACATCTTTTCAACTATGCCATTGGTTTATTTTTACAAAAAGTTTACATTTTCTTATCAAAGTCCCTACACTATTGGCCACTATTAGCGGTGCTGACTCTAGCCTCTGGTATGTACGGAATATTAAACATTAAACAAGCTCAACGCTCAAAACAATCGATTAATGTATCGTGATCGTGTGAAATTCGGGAAAGAGAATTACTTTTATTTCAGATTATGATCCGGTGAGTCACAAAATCTGGCAAATTCCGAAATCCGGTATATTCCGGATTCCGGAATCCGGTTGTTCCGGATACATGTAAATCCGGCGGAACCGGATTTCACCGGATAGTGCAAAATCCGGCGGAACCGGATTCCGGACCGGGGTCCGGCACACCCCTACTTATTAATTTGCCAAATAATTTTTATGTTGAATTAGATGGACTTTATTTGCTTATATTATGAACAAATTTTTCTTATCTTCAAAGAAAAGTTTAATTTCTGTTTTTCTCAAAATAAATTTTTTTTTTAAGGATACTGAATGTTATTATTCATTTTTCTATGGATTTACCAGTTCAATTGTTTTAAAATTGGGTATACTTGTTTAAATATGGTTTAAGTCTACGGTGACAGAACAAGTTTGGTTAAAAATGATCATGAAAAAAAATTATTTTAACTGAAAGTGGTATTTTTAAAGAAAAAATTTTGTGACCAAAAAAGAAAAAAAGAGCACCAAATGGACATTAAAAAAAAAAAAAAATTTTATAACAAAAAAAAAAAAAAAAAGCACCAAATGGAAATTAAAAAAAAAAAAAAAGTCTGCTATCTTTTTACCCAAAGACTCAATGTTATCATATTTAGTAGGCTTATGGCTTATTAAAAGCAAAATTTGAGACCTGTACCTGCTGTGGCTTTTATATAAAACACTTCCAATCCGCTGGAGTAAAATTTTTGAAAATAATTAAATTTTCCAAGAAATTTTGCTTATCTAAGCCCATATGGATATTATAAAAACTTTAAACATGTTAAAATGTTGATAATTTAGAAAATAGTTAACCCCCTTAAGAACAGAGTTCCCCTTTTCAATCGGCCTATAACTTGAAATCTGCCATTCAGTCTGTCTGACAGTCAGTCATTGGAAAAGTAAAGTTACTGTACTTGTGAAATTTAACATGGTCCAAACTTGAAGTCAGTTCATTTGCGAAAATAAATGGCAATATTATGAAGATATTTCAACAAAAAATTGCATGGTATTTTTACAGCATTCGAGATATAAATATGTTATTTTTGGACTTTCAGGATGAATATTATAGAATTTTTAAAAATGTTTTTTGGTTCATTTTCATAGTTTTCTTGCACAGTGTGTAAATTCCATGTGTTTTTACATGCGGCTTTAGAGCTCGTTTTAGGGTTTGAATTAGGGATAGATTCAGGGTTCAGGTTAGGTTTAGGGATCAATTTAGGGAGTTCAGTTTAGGGTCAATACCCAGGTTAGGTTTAGGGTCAATACCCAGGTAAAATTTCTTTTTTTTTTCTCTTCCATTTTTAAAAAAAAAATTTGCTCATTTCCCTACTCTCCTATCTTTTGGTAAGTAGTTGAAATAACAAATTTCTCTCCATCCCTTCTTTTTTAACCCTCTGGAGACGTAAGGGCCGATCTCTATCGGCCCGAGGTACACTAGCGAGAAAGACGTCAAGTCCGAGCCGTCGGCCTGATAGATCGAGCCTCACGATTGGCTGGCTTGGCGTTGTACCAGCGAATCAAAATTATTCATACGCATTCCTGCACATCCCGGCATTGTAATGGCGGCGTTCGTTGAAGGTGAACTCAATGTATTTGTTTGCAGGAATTTTTGTGTGTGTGTGTAGTTACATCGTGAATTTCGAACATGTCTGACAGTGACTCTGATCAAACTGTGCTTAGTAATTTTGATATTCTAGCAGTGAATTTGACACTGAAACTGCTGAAAACAACCAGGGAATTAATGAAGACTTTCAAATTGAGGGTAATGCTAATGTTGTGAACTCTTGGTTTAGTATTACTAGTATTAGGGGTCCTCAAATGGACAGAGATGACCCCTCTGAATTTTTAGACAACATAAGTCCTATAAATAAGTCATAAGCACCCCATTTGAGTATTTTATGCTATTTTTTACACTAAATATCACTCAAGTGTTAAATGAGAGAGGCCAATTGATATGCAGACACATTTGTCAGTAACATTCAGCTTAAGGTGGTCCACGGGGGAAAATATCGATATTTATATAATTTTTATCAAAAATGAGATTATGGTGAATTTTACTAGATAAACATCTAAGGAACATTTTGGTTTTTACCATTTTCATTAAAAAATAATTTAAAGTTGTTAAAAATGTATTTTAAAGTAGCATGGTAGGAGCAAATTTTGACTTCTGGGGCAAAATTCAGGCCCCATAGACCCCCTGGCGCACCCTTCGCTTTTACAATATAATTACAACGCAATATAGTCATATTTGGTATCGATGGAAAGCTTAGCCTCTCTACTCGGTAATGGTATCGCCCACTAAAATGTTCAGAAATAAGGCTGGCGGGAGCTCTTTGTTCGGCAAAGCCTCTATATTTTCGCTCGAACAAATGTTCTTATTGGTCGAGATTTAAAGTTTCAATAAATCGGATATTGTCATTGGTCAGCTATTTTTAGACTTCATCAACAAGTCAGAAATCTATCCCACAATGCAATGGCCGTCTACCAAATTCATTGTGTCCAGTTGGCGTAACCTTTTATCGATCGATCGACTTTACTTTTGCAGTCTTCAAATAAATTCAAATTTGAACTTATTTTTTTGCTTTGAAAAGGTAAGTTGAATTAATTATTGTATAATTTAATTTATATTAAATAGTTTTAGCTAGTTTTAGGCGTTCGAGTGAAGGTTGAGCTAGGTTTCGTATAATAATACAGTGTCATTATCACTAGGGCTAGTAACTAGTAACTAGGCCTACTTACTAGTGACTAGTACTAATACTACTACGAAACAGTGATATACGCAGACATATAAAAATGTAATGAGCGTAGGCTTATGAATCAAATTGAAAGCTACTTTATGCCTAAATATACAAAATTGTAATACAAAAAATATTTCAATATATTCATTNACAAGGATAAGTTGCAGAGGTAGTAGACATTGATGATGGTCCTATGATGGGAGTTGGCTCACTCAGGAGGGATAGTGTTATATCTAAATACCTCACACTCACATGATAGACAATTTTTCCAGAATTTTTTATATAATCATGTTATTTACGACAAGGGGTTGCTTTTAAAAACATGACTTTTATTATTTTCTATCATATATATCTGTGTTTTTGTATTGTTTTTTCAATTATGAATAGTATATGTACATGGTATATGCATCCAATGTTGTTAAATAAGTAGACTTTAATTTTTTTTTAAATATTTTGTTTTTCTCAACTTTGCGTTTTTTCAGATTTTCAGGAATGCCAAGCCAAATGCATCACGAGGAAAAGTATTATAGCTACAGACTTCAAACTTTCCATGCTTTTTACCATTGATATTATCTACATAATAACACCTCCTTCTTTTAGATATGTCAAGCAGAGATTTAAAAATTATTTTTATTATTATTATAATTTTATTTGGGATGGGGGTTGTTATTTTGAAAACGTGACTTTATTAATTTTATGTGTTTTATATCTGTGTTTTTTATTGTTTTTTAATTTTATGAATGGTTCTTGTACATGGTATATACATCCTACATTGTTCAAGTAGTCTTTAATTAAAAAAAAATTATTTTTCGTTTTTCACAACTTTGCATTTTTCAGATTTTTCATGGACGCGAAATGTATCAGGAAGAAAAGTATTACAGATACAGGCTTCACACTTTCCATGCTTTTTACCATTGATATTATCTACATAATGACATCTCCCTCCTCTGGATCAGTCCAACAGAAAAATTTTAATTATTTTTTATTGTTATACACTTTTTATTTGGGACAGGGAGGTTGATGTTTGAAAATATGACTTTGTTAATTTTCTATCTTTTATATCTGTATTTTTATATTGGTTTTTCATTTATGAATAGTATATGTACACGTTTTATGCATTATATCTTGTTCATGTCGTCTTTAATTTTTAAAAAAAAACATTTTTGGACTTCTTTTTCGTTTTTCTCAACTTCATGTTTTTCAGATTTTTTAGGAATGCCAATTGCATCAGGAGGAAAAGTATAACAGCTACAGGCTTCAAACTTTCCATGCTTCTTACCATTGATATTATCTACAAAGTGACATCTCCTTTTTTCAGATCTGTCCAACAGAACTTTTAAAATTATATTTTTACATATGCTACCCCCGGTATTTTGCCAGAAAATTATGTGACTCCACAAATATGTCATTTGTAGATGCTCCAATAACTGTAATGCAGAAAGCTTTTGTAATTTTTTTAACAACTCTATTCTTAATGAGTGTGCCAAGTTTCATTATGATGTTGATAAATCTTTTGGGTGTTGATACATTTTGCGTAACTGTCAATATTTGTATAAAATTAGAAATAATTTTTGCAATAAAAGTCAAAAAAATTTTTTTTTAAATAAACTTCTATGTTTTTTTGTCTTTCTATTGGTGTATAGTTAGTATGTACTAAAAAAAAAATTTTTAATTTAAGAAACATAGAAAATTTTTTTTTGACCCATGGACCACCTTAAGAGAAGGTCCCTAGGTTATAAATGGGGGCCTGTTACAGTATGTCTGTAACAACTGAAAAATAGGGGGTGGGGGTGGGAAAAGAGTAGAACCATGTGCCAGAGGTGTCTGAAGGGCCTTCATGGGCCCTTTTCCCCAAAAAAATAAGTATTAGGACTTATTCAGGCTTCATCCATCAAAAAATTCACACAATTGATACAAGTAAGTCATGTTTGTTCTAGGTGTAACAAAAAATTACATGCATAAATTATGCAAATAAGGGTACCTCATTTGCATAAATTTTGATATGTCAGTTTGATTCATAAAGATTGTGTTAGTTCATTCAATTTCCTACAAGAATATATATAGTTTTACATATATTAAGGGAATAGTTTATTTTTTATAAATTTTTTTGCAATGCGAGTCTCGAGCTCGTAAAAATTGCTCTGTCTTTTTGGCACATACACCCCGAAACGGCTCCGTCTCCAGAGGGTTAATTGACAGTGTCTACACGTCCGGTGACCGGATAAATAGTGAGGGAGATATTCTTCCAGCGGGCATTTCATATGACAAGAGGTCGCCGGCAAAATTTTTTTAAAAAGTCTTATCTTTGTTTAAATATCTTATAAAGCTCTACCTCGTAGCCTTAATTTAAAATATGAACCAAAGAAAATAAGACCAATACTTGCCAGTTGACTTTCAATAGATATACTGTCAAAAAAGTTTTATTTTAGGCTATTAATCTTGCGCGAGAAGTAGGCTACCCCAACAGCTCACTATTTACCCTATAATGGCCCTCTTTAAGATGTAGGGTCTATTTCTTTGAGAACTTTCGACCTCCCTGCCTTCATTATTAAGCGACCCCACTATCATAATTATCCTCTCTCTCGCTTTCAGTATTTCTTCCTTCTAAAATGCATTGCTCCCCCCCCCCCCACATATTTCTTGAAATGAGTTGTAGGGTCTTTTTCTTTTAGAACTTTCGACCTCCCTGCCTTCATTATTAAGCGCCCCCACTCTCATAATTATCCTCTCTCTCGCTTTCAGTATTTCTCCCTTCTAATATCCATTGCCCCCCCCCCCCCCACATATTTCTTGAAATGAGTATACTCGTCGGCCCCCATGCATTGCCAACACCAGTTTTATGATCTACTATTGAATTTGATGTCCTAAATGTATCCCTAAGCCTTAACCTGGGTATTGACCCTATCTGCAGAATCGGAACCAGGGTTTTGATCCTATTGGAACCAGGGAGTGGGACAAAACACACAAATGACATCAAGGTGCTATCTCTCCAAATTAGCCAAAATTTCTCCTTACAAAACAAAGTTGAGGACCTCTGTACTGTTGGGGGCGATTATCCTCAGACCACTAAATAAACCTAGTCCTAGTAAATCAGTAAATGGCAGATATTCTATGTATGAGTATGAATATGATTGATACGTTTTCTAAAAATATGCCTATATTAGGCTATTTTTACAAAGTGGAATGTTAATAAGGTAGATATTTTTTTTAAAATAATTCTGACGATTTTCAATGACTTGCATATGTGAACTGACAATCCAGGCGGGAAAGTTGCATCAACCGGTCGCCAAACCAGCAGAAAAATTCCCCCCCAAATATGGGGCAACTCCACTTACACAATTTAAGTATAAAGAAATAATGTTCGAAAATGGAATCTTGACACTGAAATTTCAATAATACTTTATCGACCATGGCTTACCTCTATACTGCTAAATACAACAAACTGCCTAGTATTTTGATAAAACAATATCAATTTTCAACCCAGAAATAAAGAGACGCCAACTACGCCATTTTCTCAACGGGTTCCGTCTATAAAATGCAATTAATCAAGCTGGCCAGATAAACACTCTTTGCTGCCAAAGTGAATAGGTTACAATATACATATAAATAATACTATAACAAGTTTCATGGCTAAATAATAATACTTAACTATTTAATTTAGAAAATAAAAATTATGAAATATAATTACTGACATTTCAGTGCATATTATGAAATTTAGCCTAAGAGACTAACAAGCGTCAAAACTGGCAAGAAATCTACGAGGTCGTTGAAGTGGAGAGTGGCTGTCTTTTTTGCATCCGAGTTTATAAATGACTTGTCAAAACGTGATAATTTAACAAAAAGTTCTTTGAAGGGGGGAAAAATGTTAATGTCTGATAATTATATCTGATCGTGCAAGTAAACATGCCATTGAAATGTTAATGAAGTAAATGTTAATGGACGGAATTAAATATTTAAATGTGACTCCTAAATAATCAGTTTGGGACGGTATGATTTTTTTTCTATTTTTTTTTTTTAAAATTATTGTGGAAGCCAAAATGGCCTACTTGCAGAGCTCTATCAAGCCTTACAACTTTTTAGATACATATATTATATTCCTATAAGTATAAGATGTATGCACTTTAGGTGTAGCTGATATGAGGAAGGGGTAAAAATTCTCACTTAAAAACAAATTAATACAGAAAGAAAAAGTTGTAATCAATCTATATAATTAGTTGAACCGTGCGAAGGAAATGTTGAGAAAGCGCCCCCCCCACCCCTCTTTCTCCCCACCCTTCAAGCCTTACAACTTTTTAGATACATATATTATATTACTATAAGTATAAGATGTATGCACTTTAGGTGTAGCTGATATGAGGAAGGGGTAAAAATTCTCAATTAAAAAAAAATTAATACAGAAAGAAAAAGTTGTAATCAATCTATATAATTAGTTGAACCGTGCGAAGGAAATGTTGAGAAAGCGCCCCCCCCCCCCTTTTCAACCCCACCCAGCGTTTCATCAATAAATGAAAGGCCTAGACTCTAGAAACACGCTCATAATAGTCATAGATATATTTAATTTTTTTTTCGCCGGGTGTCGACGATTCTGGCATCCCTTATAATGTCACCTGGGGAGGGTTTCCCCTTTCCATGGTCATGATGTGCACTAGTATAAGAAATACAGAGGGAGGAGGTACAATTTCGAGTGTTAATGACACTTAAAAGTATGCGTTTTGGGGAAGAGGCAGAGCAGAGGCGTAGCTAGTCTAGACTGTTTCGAGCGTGGGAACAAATTTCATTTTATCACCCCCCCCCCCTTTTTTTTTTCAT